CTCCCAGGAGACGGTTGCAGTTGCCCTGGAATCTGCGGTCGCTCACTCGCCCCTTCTTCCTTTGCATCCTTTTTCTCCAGCTCCTGCTCCTTCTCCTTCTCCTCCTTGTACTCTCCTTCTCAACTTAGGGCTCCTCTCAGTACTCAGTAGGGAGGACCGGACACGCCGGCCGGTCCTCAGCATACCCTACCTCTGGATCTCGTCTCTCTTTCCAATGACCCGTCTCAAAGATCAAGCTTATTAAGCCCCGGCCTGCAAAGAGCAGGAGCGTGCGCAGCGACATGACTGCTTGAAGCAAGTTGCTCACAAGGACGGCAAGGACTGAACCCTGGTACGCACGAGAATGGTTCAGCGTTATCGAATGTTTGGGCATCGTTTCCAAAGATACGCTGCGGCCTGCGAGCATGATGGCAGCAGGAAACGCAGCAAGACTCTTTACCTCTGTTCCTTGTACTTCCAAGCTAAGGCCCCTAGCTTTGTAGAAGGCCAGGACACACCATCCGCCCTTGCAGCACAGCACAACTGGGCGTAGCAAACAGAAGCAAGAAGTCTCGCATCCACGGGACTCCGTGGGAGTTTGCTGGACTCCGCAGGGCGAGCAGAACTGGCAGCACCCGTCGGTTTCTCAGCGTGACAGCGGCAGCCACTTCTGCAGAACTTCCCCAAGGGGCAGGCAGTCTTCGTCCTCTGAGCCAGACATGCGTAAGCACTTCGGAGCTACGTAACAGATGGCTGCCGCTACCAGTGACCGGAGTTGGTGTCCTGCAGCTCCGTGAGTCCCTGGGTGTTCCTCACACGCCAAAGCTCAACTTGCGTTTTTTTGGTCACTAAGTGCCTCAGCGAGGTGGATAATTTCAGATTCATGTTTCTGTAGAAGACATTCTGCTTCGCCCATTCATGCATCTGTACCTTCAACCTGATCATACCTTCCAGGCGTTGGCCTCGCCGGGTCGGTCAAGAACTGGCGCTCATACCTGGAGACACTGGAGACACTGCTGCTGCCGCTGGCAACCGCTCTTGTTAGTTGCCAGACTGCTGGCTAGAGAGGCGTGCCTGTGAAACTTTCCAATGTCCTAGTGCCAAGCCCTCTGTGTCATCATGCAGCCGCCACCATCTGGTGGGCTGCACATGGCTCTGCATGTCTAGCAATCCTTCAACGGCAGGACACTCCTTGTCGTAGACACACACCTTCAGCCTCCGTGCCTGCAGCTGGACTACACATGCGGGCGCATGGCATGCAGCCTACCTACAGTTCAGTAGAGTTCTCAACCCTAAGGCTCATGGATACCCTACTGCAGACAAACCTTGACCTTTCCCTGTAGTGAGAGTCTGACACTACTAAGAGAACACTCAAGGCCCAAACTCCACCTTACTGCAGCGTCAAAGTCTTTCTGCCGGTCGGCCGTCGGTAGGTGTAGAATCGATCAGGTATGGTACGCCTCTGCATTCTGAGTTAGATTGTTCAACAGATTCAGATTCTACCTCCTTCCGAACAGGCACTGAAGCAAACTGACCGAAAAGAGCCGGCTGTCGCCTCTGGTGGAACCAAGGGAGAGAAGGCATAGATGTTGGCGATCAGGAAGATCACTCCAAGTACCACGGTACGCCTTGACTTCCATGGCACATTGGACTAGCTCACGTGTTCATTGATTGCATGGCCCAGCGGCTGGTTCAGGTCTTCTGTGTAGTCTGGGTCATCACCAGCGGCCCGCTGGACAGCCACTGAGCGCCCGGAGGGACCTGAGAAACAGGGGACAACAAACCTTGACTTGCCACAATTGGCAAGAGAGACAGAGAGAGAGGGCGCGAGAGAGAGACAGAGAGACAGAGAGAGGGAGTGTCGACATGAGTCGGCAGATGCTTGGAATCACTGAGATACGTGCTGGTCGGCGCCACAAACGACAGAACCGGCACCCGTTGCTGCCTCTGGGGAGGCACAAGGTGTTGAAACTGCAAGCGGAGACCGCTTTCTAAGGACCCCTGCGATCTGCCCGCACAATCCCTGCCACTCACTATGGTCCTAAGTAATCTTCATCCACTTGTTTGCCTGCTGAGCATCTCCCTGCCTCACTGGCTCAAGCGATGTGAAAGCAATGGTCACGAACTCGGCTTCATACAGCAGTACAAGAGGGAACGGTAACCGATGTTTGGACGGTTAGACTGCGACTTGCCCTGAACGTGGAGAGTGCTGCCAAGCGATGCTGAAAGCTTCCTGATAGGAGAAGAATGTTTGCAGCCTGGAGGCTCCAAAAGTTGCGAGTGCTAGCAAACGACCCACTCGCTGATTGTGCGCCGGCGCCATGCTGCTCGATGCTGCTTGGTCGTGCGTAACCGATGCAGGATCATCAGGAGTGCAGCGGGATGTAGCGGGTATTCTGAAAACATCGTTGCAGAAGCCTCGTTGCTCTTGCCATATGCTACTGCACCCGTGTCTCCTTTTTCAAGACCCAGCACTGGCTGACTGGCTGTAAAGGCTGCTGAGCTGAGCGCAGAGCAAGAAGCCCAACAACTGCCTCCACGAAGCACCAGCAGGATATCGAGCTTTTCCTCCCCATGTGTGTCCGCAACGCCATATGCGCAGATCGAACAAGGGTCAGCTCCAGAGCCGAGCCCACCATCAAAACTCAATGCAAGGTCAAGCCAGCCTCGGCCATAAGCTGTACAGGTCGGCTGAACTCAATCCCTAAACGCAATGCAATGCCAATGCAAAGCAAAGCAAATTGAAACATTCCCGGACTTTGGAGCCTCGGGACTCTCGGTATCTTCACAGGGATCCGCTTCGGAACGATTGGACCGGTCCCTCTCACAGCCTCACTGTACATTGGGACGTCCCCACCAAAAATTCAATGGTTGCAGTCCGGTCTGTAGCACCGACTGCGGCACTTCTCTCTTGGCTCTACGAAGCCTCAGACTCGGATGTAGCGCTCACCCATGCAACTTGTGGACAAGCGCCGTGTGCCGAGCGAGCATGCCTAGAGCTCCTTGGCAGGGCTTAACTCTTTCCAGGATCCCCGCGTTTGAGAATGCAGAACGATCTCACGGGGGTGGCAAATGGGACATGATTGCTGCAATCACCTTTCGAGCACCATTCAAGGCGCACTGCTTCTTCTTCTCGGCTAACCCATTTCCTTTTCTGCTCCGGCAACGGCAAGTGCAGCACCGCATGCCTCAAGTCAGTCTGTCGACTGAGAGCATCACCCGGCACCCAGGCTACGGCAACGTTCTTCAACGAGAGCACTCAGCCACTGCGCGCCGCTAAGCGCAGCAGAGGCGCACATGAACATCAAGGCGAACCTGAGAAGAAAGGAACTTGAAGCAGAGCCGGCTCTCAGCAGGTGATGCATGATTCGCAGCGCGAGCTCCATTCTTACTTGAGCTTTCCTGCGCATCCGTGGCCGACCCACTCGATGTCTGCTTGCCGCGACTATTCGGCCGAGAGACGCCATCAGCTGTGCGTAGATGACAAGGTCATAGCCTCCACGGCTGCAACAAGATGAGGCGATGTGGTTTTCCGAACGCACGGTGACGGGGATGATGCTGTCCGTTGTTGGGGCTTTTGGGGCTCAGTGAACAGACGCAACTGAACCGAAGGTGAACACCAGTAGCCTTGAAGCCTTTTCATGCATCTGCTTGTCGTGCTTCTTAAGCTTGCTTTTTGCATACCGCGGTGTCTTTCCTTCGTTTACTGCACATAGGTATTCTGTTCCTTCTTCCAAAGCCGGTCATATCAACATCGGCGCCCACGAGTGTTTACTGAGGAGCGGATATCACAGCTATGGGTACTCGGAACAAGCAAGTCCCGAAATACAACGTCTGCAATGTGCACCGACGAATGGTCCTTTAGGAAAAACGTCCCATCTGCGACTGATGTATGAGTTCGGCAAAATTCACAGAAGACCTTAGATGGGAGGGACCAGGAGGCGCGAGCGAAAAACACAGGTCGAAGGAAGCAAAAGCAGGCTCTGTGTTGCACTCGATGAGCGTACCGCTGCATGCGTTAGTGCCACGAATACGCACTCTTTGAGTCAATGTGACAGAAATGTGATTCTCATGGCGCGACTAGTGAAACAGCAAGCACTTTACACTAGGCACCACGTGTTCTTTTGGGAACAGCCTGAAAATGGAGCAGTGCTAAAGAAACCAGCCTCAGCCCTGATCCAAGTGCTGTACTATTTGCAAGAGAACGATGTTGCTGTTGGTGCATCTTTGGACTACAAACTGAAAAAGCAAACGCCTCCAGATGCTACATTTGAAGAGCAAGGGCCAGAAGAAGAGTTTAGACTCTAACGCTGCGTGACTTTGAGGGTGAGAGTATGTCGGTGGTGAACCGGCAAACCATGGCTAGCAGTAAGTATTCGGTAAAGATTCCTCAGGCTAAGGAATAAGGTACTCCAAGTGAATGAAACCAAGAATGTAGCAGAGGGCCAAAGACATCGTACGTGTGGAACTTCTCCGTTTTCTACATCTCTAGGGTAACTACGGGTCTGTCCGTTTCCAACATTACCCTTTGAGCAGCCTGGCTATCTACTTGGTTCCAAAAACTGAAAAAGTAGAATCGGAACGTATTTCTAAACAGAGAGGGGGCTGCTGGCTGCTAGCCAGGGGACACAGCCCCACATCAGCACCTGACAAACCTATGCTGCTGTGGTGCACCTTTCTCTCATGTTGTAGGTTGCTGTGCAAAGAACTCACGACATGAGTTCCTACTTTTACGTGTCAGCGTGCCTGCCATGAAAAAGGAGGAGCTGGTAGATCCTGCAGGCAAGCAGCCCCAGCATGTGTTTCAGGATGTTTCAGGCTGCGGCAAAGGGGGCTGAATCACCAGGAATTAGAGACTGTGGGCTTCCAACCCCCCACCCCCCGCAAGAACCTCCGCCCTCCTCTGAAGGGATCTTGCTTCATCCTACGATCGACTTTCCAGACCTTGTCCAGCTCTGCCTACTAAAGCAAGACGAACTCAAGCCGAGCTCCACTTTCGTGATATAAAGGCCCGATACTAAAGATACTAAAGCCTCCCTGCCTTCCAGGGGCGTTCTCAGTGGCGCAAGGTCGCCGGCAGCCGCCATCTCCAAAAGGTCGGCGGCTCGTGACCTTGGGTGCAGCGGTTCCAGAGTTTCGAGGTTTGGGGTTCACTGGGTTTCACTGGGGCTCACTGGGGCTCACTGTGGTTCACTGGCATTCACAGGGGATCACTGGGGTTCAGCGGAGTTGGGCTCCGGGATGGGGATTGAGCTATCGAGAGGCTTGTTGAAAGCTGCCGAACCAAGGCCCTGGTGACAGTAGAAACTGACAATTTGAATGGCATGTACAGCAAAAGCCAGTGACTGCGGCGAGTGCCTCTTGCTTCTCGAAGCTGGTGCCCCTCCCACCTCCCTCCATTTCTTCTGTGCTGTCGTTTGAAACTTCGGATCCGCCCTAAACCCAAGCAACCTCCAACCTCCCCCCGAGCCCGCGGCGTGCCCCCGAACTTCTCCAGAAGCCGCGACATGGTCTGCGCCCGCGCAGCATAGCGGGGCTCGGCGAGGACGTGCCGCACATCCTGGTGCTGGAACCGTCTGAGCGAGCGACTTAAGGCGACTTACTTACGTCAGCTCAAGTCGAGATTCCCCGAGGACGTGCAAGTTCCGACAAACCAAGCAGACCTCCAGCCTACCTGCACCTACCAAGAACACCTGAATAAAGGCCGCGGAGGGTAGTTTACGGGGTGTATCGTCCTCAGCCTGGACCCAGCCACCCTGAGGACCTGCAAACTTGGACGGCTGAAGGCAGGGCAAAACCCAGGGCTGCACAAGCCAGGAAGCAAACAATGCTGTTCACTCTGAAAGGCGAGACGGCTGTGAACTGGAGGCTTTAGAATTTAGACAAACAGAGAGAACGTCTTCGCATCTTCGCGCAGAAAGTCGCGGTCGCGTCTTCGCGTCTTCGCGCCAAAAACTACGCACCCCTACTTAGGGCTCAACATGCCCCCCATAGCACCCCTGCAGCCTGTGATCCCTGCACCCGCATCCGCAATGCGTCGGCAAACAGCCATCTGATCCTCGGGTCTCGTTGACGTTTTGCCAGATTGATCACCCTACGAGTAACCAAACAAACCTAGACCATCCGCAACTAGACCGACTTTTAAGGGAGGAAGGCTGTAAACATCTCCAAGGCCCAGGCCCCAAACTGCGGGTAGCCAATAAGTGGCTTGCCCATGGCCATGCACTCGACAGCCGAGTTCCCTGACAAAGCTGACGGACACTCTTTGGCTCTTTGTCCATTTGGCAACATTCCCTCCTGTTCACCGAGCCTCCGCAGTGGGAAACGAAGGCCTTCACCTTCGGGTGCGCCAGCGCCCGGGCGCTGGGAATCCAGTGGTGGATCATGACGCTGGGCGGCAAGGTATCTGCCCGGGACGCTCTGCAAAACCGAGCTTGGGGGGAAGCGGTCAAAAGCCGGGCTGCTTGTTGCGACACACCAAACCGAGCGCTTCAATTTGGTGAGGCTGTTACGCGCCTGGCAAGCCGACCTGCTGAGTCTTGGGCAAAGCCCAGAGCGTGAAGTGTTCTGTGGACGTCAGCGTGGACAGTGTTGCCATCACCTGAGGAGGTGAAAACTTCGGACCCGTCCAGTGCAGGGGGGGCTTGTATCATCCAAGCATATACTGCTTCTCAGCCATCAGTATGTTTCTCGAAGGCTTCCCCTGTGACTTGGCTCGAAACCCTCTCCGCAGTCAGCCGCACAATGGTGCCATAGCTCACCTCAGCCGACAAACCATCCTCTATGGTTGAGTTCCAGCGAGGCGACTACGCATTGCATGAAGAAACGGAAAGCTGCCCTGCCACAATAGGCAAGTACAACGATCCAAAGATCACAACTGCACCCAGTCACGTAGACGACCGGCATTCCCTCAGGGACAGACTCCAGCCAGGACCTGAGGCTACACATGGCTACACATTGCTGCATTCTGCAAGGATGCGCGAGGCACTAGCAGCCTGAAGCTCTGTGACTTGCGACAGGATCCGACATGGATGCCACTTCGACCTCAAGCTAAAAGAAACCAGGTTTGCTTGTCCAGCGTCTCCACTTCTGGCGGGAACGGCTCCATCTTCTTCACATCCACGACCGGGCCCGTGTACCTCAGCTGTTGAGTCTGGAGTGTAGGGTCTGAGATTTGAGCTGAACGATGTAGTCCACACATCGCGTCTTCTTTCTGGGGCTTTGGCCTCAAGAACTCTCAGTGGCAAGGTGTTCGTCTTTTCTGGGCTTTCAGGGCGAACTTTGTGTCCTCTCTGCCCGTCACACTGTCAGTCGTCTACGGCCTACTGCAGCATGTCGCCAAAAACTCTGCACAAGCTCCTAAGGTTCCTCCTAAATAAAGGTCTCCTAAGAACCTCGGGCCCTTTTTGGTCCACTTCTTCTGTTACATCGGCTGCGCCCAGGCGCTGCACCAGAGGTGGCAAGAGCTGTGGATAGTCGACACCCGGGATGCTGTTCACGAATGCAAGACGGCCCCGCCACATATCAGGGCCTTGATGCGACAGCTTCTGCCATTTTCATCATCTACTGGGTCACACCAACCTCGAACTCCCGAAGAACCGAAAACCCCGGTGGTTCTAAGTTGTTCCAAGCTTCTCAAGTCTGGCATGAAAGAGAACTGAAAGCCCGCAGCCACGGCCAGATGCCGCCCAAAGTTCCTAAGAATCCGTGAGTCGAAGAGGTGATCTCCGAGTTCCGAGAGCTGCAAACTCTACTCAGCGCTTACTCTACCACCCTAAACCCTAAACCCTAAACCCTAAACCCTAAACCCTAAACCCTAAACCCAATGGAAATTTTCTGTGCACCTCTAAGAGAAGGCAAAAGAGAGATTCCTGCTATGATCTGCCCCAGATTCAAGAGGCTGTTGCCGCCGACCACCAGAAGCCTCACAGGATGCCCCAGGTTGAAATTTTATCATTAATAGTCATACTATTATACATAAAGATACTACTATTCTAATAAATATTATTACTATTAATCAGGAAGAAAAAATAGTTTGAATAGAAAAGTTTAAAAAAAAAGTATAGAAGAGTAATGTCAAGGATATGTGTAATAAATTGATTATTGAACCCTGCGATGATTCAGGGGGTTGCTGTGTAAACGTGCCTGTCCACGAAAGTCATATTGTGCGGGCTCACCAAGTGGAACGGCAGTGGGATGAAGGTCGACGCCCACCTCTGCGACTTCTGTGCTTTGGTTGCTGGCTGTTGCTATTGTTCCGCCCTTGGCCCAAATTGCTACACATATCCGCCGACCCCAGCAACAGCGGGGCGGCGTCAGTGAAGACCCTCCCTGCCCTCACCGCAACCTCTTCCCCCTTCCCCTTCCCAACCATTCCACTCCACCTCTCCACTCCACCTCTTCACTTGGCCTTGCCTTCTGCCCCTAACCTGCCACCACCAACCCCTTCCCCTGCCCCCTCCCTTTCCCAACCATTCCATCCCCCTCCCCTACCCCTTCCCCATCCCTGCCCCCCCTCTCACCGTACCCCCTTCACTCCACCCACCACCAACCCCTTTCCCCGCCCTTACCCTCCCACCACCAACCCTCCATCCTCCTCCTACCCCTTCCCCTCCAGCCACTGACCTCATCTCCTCCACCTACCCCACTCCCACCACCAACCCCTTCCCTGCCCCTCCCACACCCTTCCCCTTCCCACCATTCCACCCCCCCCCCCCCCCCCCCCCAAACCCCCCCCCCACCCCCCCCCACCGCCCCCACCCCACCCCCCCCCCCACCCCCCCCCCCCCACCCCCCCATTCCCACTCCATCCCCCTCCCTCACCCCTTCCCCATCCCTACCCCCCCCTCACCGTACCCCCCTCCCCCACCACCCACCCACCACCCCCATCCTCCTCCCCTACCCCTTCCCCACCAGTCCACCCTTCTCCAGCCACTGACCTCATCTCCTCCACCTACCCCCCTCCCCCCCACTCCCACCACCAACCCGCCCCTCCCACCCTTCCCCTTCTCAACCATTCCACTCCATCCCCCCTTTCTACACTCGATCAGATGACTGACTTTTAAAGGGCTCCAGCGCATGCCCGCCCCACCCCCCCCCAACCCCGCCCCCCCTACCCCTTCCCCACCCCCAATCCACCCTTCTCCAGCCTCATCTCCTCCACCTACCCCCCTCCCCCCCACTCCCACCACCAACCCCTTTCCCTGCCCCTCCCACTACCATTCCACTCCATCCTCCTCCCCTGCCCCTTCCCCCATTCCACTCCATCCTCCTCCCCTACCCCTTCCCCCTCTCACCGTACCCCCAATCCACCCACCACCAACCCCTTGCCCGCCGCTCACTGCCCTCACCGCAACTCCACCTTTTTGATTTTCCTTTTTCACTTTTCCTTGCCTTCTGCCTCCTCCCACCACCAACCCCTTCCCCTGCCCCCCCCAACCATTCCGGGGGGGGGGGGGGTGGGGTGGGCAGGCGCTGGACCGGGAGGAAGGGGTTGGTGGTGGGAGTGGGGGGGAGGGGGGTAGGTGGAGGAGATGAGGTCAGTGCTTAAAAAAAAGGATTGGGGGTGGGGAAGGGGTAGGGGAGATGGAGGGTTGGGTAGGGGCGGGGAAGGGTTTGGTTGCCCCCCCCCCCCCCCACCCCCCCTCCCACCCCCCACCCCACCCCCCCACTCCCACCACCAACCCCTTCCCTGCCCCTCCCACTACCCTTCCCCTTCCCAACCATTCCACTCCATCCTCCTCCCCTCTCTACACTCGAGCACATAACTGACTTTCCCAACCATTCCACTCCATCCTCCTCCCCTTCTAGACTCGATCAGATGACTGACCAGGGCTCCAGCGCCCGCCCCCCCCCCCCCCCCCCCCCCCCCCCCCCCCCCCCCCCCCCCCCCCCCCCCACCCCTTCCCAACCATTCCACTCCATCCTCCTCCCCTCTCTAGACTGGATCAGATGACTGACTTTAAAGGGCTCCAGTGCATGCCCGCCCGCTCCGCTTGCTCCGCCCGCTCCGCTTGTTCCGCCCTTCCCCCCCCCCCCCCCCCCATCTCTTCCAGCCCCTTGCCCTGCCCCCGCTCCCACCCTTCCCCTTCCCAACCCCCTACCCCTTCCCAACCATTCCACCCCATCCTCCTCCCCAACCCCTTCCCCCAATCCACCCAACCCCTTCCCTGCCCCTCCTCCCACCCTTCCCCTTCCCAACCATTCCGCCCCTTCTCCATCTCCTCCACCAACCCCCCTCCCCCCCCCACCACCAACCCCTTCCCTGCCACCACCCCTTCCCAACCATTCCACTCCATCCCCCTCCCCTACCCCTGCCCTCACCGCAACCTCTTCCCCCTTCCCCTTCCAACCATTCCACTCCACCTTTTTGCCCCCCTTCCCCTGCCCCCCCAACCATTCCACTCCATCCCCCTCCCCACCCCTTCCCCATCCCTGCCCCCCCTCTCACCGTGCCCCCACTCCACCCACCACCAACCCCTTCCCCACCCCCTAACCTCCCCTACCCCTTCCCCCATTCCACTCCATCCTCCTCCCCTACCCCTTCCCCATCCCTGCCCCCCCTCTCACCGTACTCCAATCCACCCACCACCAACCCCTTCCCCGGTTTTAGGGTTTAAAGGCGTTTTGTGGTTGAGGGTTGAAGGTTTTAGGTTGTTCTTTTGCGTGTGAGGGTGAAGGTTTGGCCTTAGTAAGGAAAACGAAACATGTGGCTGAAACGTTTGCGGCACGATGTGGAACATCACGTATGTACGGGGGGTCAAACCTTTCGTTTGCAAAAAAACTTACGGCTCTTGTTCTCAATGTCTTCTTCAGAAAATGCTCCAAGTTTGGGGCTCCGAGATCAAAGTTGCATACCGCATCAGAGGGCTCTGTCCAAGGATTGAAGTGGCAAATTTCTTGGTCTGTACAAAGAATGAAGCGGCAAACCCATAGGTACGTAAGCAGAAATCCAGGCCCAGATGCAACGAAGGCTACAACCTAGACCCTGATGGATTTAGGGTTTGGGGTCTAGGGTTTAGGGTTTACTGGGTTTAGGGTTTAGCGGGTCTCGAGGTTTAGGAATTGGAGCTCAGGAGGGTTTAGACCTTGGAAAATTTGGGGTCGGCGGCACTGGCGGTAGCCATTAAATCGGGCAGCGCGAGGTCCCCAAAGGACCGAGCAAATGCGGACCTTTTAGCCCGGGTCGTCCCGGGAATAGCCTTGCTGGCCTCTGGCCTTCTGCGAAGCAGAATTAGGCCGGACGCCAGTGCCGCCGACCCCCGCGTGCCGCCGGTGAACGGTTTTTTTTTCGTGGTTTTTTGCGTCGCCACGGAGGCCCCCCGAGGGCGCGCATCATCAGCATCAGCGGGTCCAGCCCGGGACCCCCAGCCGCGCATCAGGAGCATCAGCGGCTCCCGGGGCGGGACCCCGGGGGCGCATCAGGAGCATGATGCCCCCCAAAGGGCGGGCATAAGCGACGTGTCTAAGCCCGGGGCTAGGAAAAAGGGAGTTTAGGGGCCTTATAAAGTGCTTAGAAACGTTAAGGGAGTCTAGGAGCCTCAAACGCTTAGAGATTTGAAGGGAGTTTAGGGGCCTGAAAATGCTTAGAAACTTAACGCTTAGAGATTTTAAGGGAGTTTAGGGGCCTCAACATGCTTAGAAACTGCTCGCCCCGGGCTTCTGCGTGCGCTGCCCGCCCATGGGCGCAGCCCCTTAAAATATATATATATATATATATATATATATGTAGATATGCGTATATGTACATATACTGTTGCTCAACCATATCTCCTTGTCTGCACAGTTTATCGTTCGAATAGTTGGGCAGGGTCCAAGCAGTGTCCAAGCACTCTTCCACACTGAGTGATATGCAACGTCCGATGGGAATCTTCGGCTTCAATCCAGGCGGCGGGTTGATCGGGGGGACGAGGATGGTCGGCACATTCACCTCGGACAGGGGTAGATTTGGAGGAAGGGCCAGTAGCAACCAAATGCAGGCACATGAGCCCTGGCCCCTAAATCAACCCTGCACGGGATACCCCAAGAAGATCAAACCGGGGAGACATGAGAAAGAACATCGGAGCCAGGCATGGCTTGGCCGTTCGGGCCCAGGGGCTGCGAAGTCGATGCCCAGCGCCTGGAGCTCGCGGCCCACACCCCCGAAGGGAAGGCCCAGTAGGCCGAAGGATGGGCGCCTGGGTCTCTTGAGAGTCATGTAAGATACAAGGATGATGATATCTTGTGATACTCTTGTTTGTGATCTGCCGGTGGCTGGTTGTTGCTGTTGTCGGCTGCCCAGATCAACTTGGAAATACATCCAAATCATGATCCCGATAACCTGAAAGGGCAACCGACCAAAGTTGCTATTGTTGAGTCTCACCATGTACGCTTCTGCATGTCGTGTCAAAACATGCTTCAACCACAGCACACAACCGTCGAACCACTGTCGAACCGTTGCAGTTTTGGGTTCCGACCAGGGTGATTCTCCAGTGGCCAGTCTGGCCAGTTTTGGTCACATCACGCAGCACCAATTGCTTATGGGCTGCGGGCGTTGTTGCCCGGATGCGATGGCAGCATACCTCTCTGCCTCATGCTGGTCATTGTAAGTAGGATCCACTGGTCTTCCATGCCGCCGGCGACCGTGGAGTCTCTCGTAGTCCTGGATGAGGCTGCCGACTCCAACTGGGCGACCGTACGCGTCAAACTGCACAAGGCCACTCTGAATGGCCGGCGAGGAGGGATCGAAACCCCCCTCAACACGAGTGTAAAGGCCCATTTCCCTGAACTGGGCGCTCCCTTGTGCCCGGATTGCATCAGGTTGCCAACCGCCCCAACGACCCTCCGACAAACGCCCTTCGCTTTGACAGGCATCATAAGCACAACGGCATCTTTGGGCTCCGCTGAAAGCACAGTTCAGCTCGTCATAGTTATCCTTGGCGACGCGATTCCATCGCCGGTCCTGCATGAAAACATTGTTGCGATCATTGGTTTGCGCGTGTTGCCATGCGAAGATGTGTCCCACATCGGCATCGGCATACTCCTGCTCGCGACCCTGCAGCCGTAGCCTGCGGCGATAACTCGTGCGGAATGCCGCATCTTGCTTTGGGAAATCGCAGTCGTCATCTGCTAGTGGGAAGGCATAGTCCATCTGACGATCCATGATTGGAACACTGCCGGGCTGCCACCCTACTCGCAGCGCCTCGAGAGCCCAAATCCTCTCTAAACCATGGCAGGCTGCTGTGGGCAACGTTTGCATGTTGTGCTTTTAGGGCAAACAATCATCTGATAGTTTCTATATAGTCATAAGCATAGAAGTATATAGAAGTATACTCTGTCAACATCTTCTTTTGGCGTGAACTCCGACTCAATAGTTCCTAAACCTTCTCAAACCCTCATTCCGACCGTGACCGAGCCCGGACTTTGTCAGCTGAGCGTCACCAGCCCACTCTTCAGCGCCTTGGACACGCCCACTTGCAGCTGATCAAAGTAGGGCGTCATGAAGTTCTGCATCATGAAGGACATCTGCCGGCAACGCCACGTGGTCAACAGACATGAAAAGGATCTACAAATCTCACGCTCGTGGGAATGCAACATGATCAGGGCACGGAGGTTTTTGCACGACCGCAGGACCGCAAGAAAAATGAACATCGGGAGACAAAGGCAGGGCCAGCCCAAGCCAAGAAATGTCGAACCCAAGCACTCTGAACATCGTCAACCAAAACAAGGACAGTGTTGGGGGATGTTCTGGGCTAAAGGGCACTTCCATTGACCGATGTCGATTCATACCTGTGCTTTATTCGGCTGTCGGGGACTGCTTGCGCGGTCGGAATTGACACACTGGAATATCTTCAGGCTTCCATTTCAGGATGGAGGATGAGTGATTCTTTATGGCCTACATCGGGCTTGGGGAATTCAATTCTTCAGCCTGATAACGGCTTGTTGCAAGTCCTTCCACATGTTGCGCACGAAAAGTGGACGTCCTGCCTGCAGCAAAGTGCTGTTCGAGGTCAACATCTGGCGCACCAGCTCCTCCTCCTCAGCCGCCATGAAATATAGGATAAGCCACACAAGTTCGAGCCTCAAACCACAACACATAAGTGGCTCAGCTCCAACAGTATTTCCTTGTCGTCGCTAACCGGCAGCTCGCCAAGGCTGAGGTAATTCAGCTTGCACTTCGGCGCGTACTTTGCCACCTTTTGCCGTCCTATTCAGGCAAGAGATAAATCCCAGCTCTCAGATATAGATCCCAGCTCTCAGAAGTATCTTGGCATGAGCGTGCCCCGTTCAGGCTAGCATCTGTGCATTGGTTCAGGTGCACTCCGGCCTCGGTCTGCAAAGCTCATCACTGTGACATTGTGGCCCCTCAGGCACAGCTCCTTCAAGTTCAGGGGCAGACGAAGCGGCGTGAAGGTCGTATCTGGGGAACCCTGCCGCCCAACAAAAAGTGGCCATGATGGCACAGCCCATTCGCCACTGCCTGTCTTGAAAACATCTGCTGCCATGAGCTCCTAGCCTAAGCCCGTCTGACACAAGCAGCGTGCAAGCTCCTGCCCAATCGAGATGCAATTGTGCAGCGGGGACAGCGGAACTCCAACAATGAGGAAATGAAACTTCTCGGCTGCCATGACACCTGACCAACGTTTTCGTTGTTTGAATCTATAGCGGAGGATCGCGAGGGCGAGGGCTGTGCTGCCAAGGGCTTGCATAGGTGCCCTGAGGCACGTCTTTTTTCTTGGTTCAACACATACATGCTCGCTATGCGTGGTACCTGCAAATGCTTCTCGGAAAGCAATGCTTGCGCTATAAAATCATATCTGAACGACTTGAAAAATATGACACTTGCAACATACGAAGCACACACATACATATTTATATGTATCTATATATATATATATATATATATATATAATTTATATGAAGCACCCAAATGAAGCACGCGAATGCCTCGGAACTGGCTGGCTTGTTTGCGTCTTGATTTTTTCCTGGGTTTGCCTCGCCTGTGTCCACCGCAAGATTGCCGTGGACAGTTGAACAGGGAGCAGGACTGTGTGAGGAAGAGTTGCAAGGTTTGCAAAACTGGACTCACTCGCTCATTGAGTTGTCTGGTTGGGGATCTCTCCAAGATTCTGTTTGGACAGATTGAACTGGCTTCCCTAGAGGAAGCTGTGTACGGCTCATCCAAGCAGGTTAACTTGAATTGGCTGAGACCCCAAAATCTCTCGCGAAGCCTTCCAAGACAAAGACCCCTGCCTGGGGTCTTGCGCCTGCGGGAACCCACACAGCACTAAGCACTACGAAGCGGCTGAACGGCTTGGAGAGAGCGGCGCGCAGTGCGTGGGGTGGGAGCTTTGCTGAAACAAATTGAAAAGCCACGATGGTGCTTCGGAGTCCTACACTTGAGAATCCCCTCTTGCGGTGACGTGATGCCTGGTCTGGCAGCCCTCCACCTGAAAGGTGACTGTCTGGCTGACTGTGCGTGGTGGTCATGCTCCCTGCCATCCGGGGACGTCCATAGATTACAGTCGGGGTCTTGGTAGCAGTGTTAACTGGCTCTAAGTCTCTGTGCTACTCGTGCCCATCGGCATGGAACTTGCAGATCACACAGCAGGACTCGATCGCGAGCAGATACTTGTGATCTGTCCGCGAAATCTGGCAACCTCCCGAGTTGCCCTCGTACACTGCAACTCACGGACCACGCGCCAATCCGAATTCGAGAGACTGGCCACTTCTGCCCTGAATGATGTTATGGTACAAGATGGACAAGAATCTTACGAAAGCAAAGCATGGCGGGCGGCAGGTCGGACAAACTCAAGACCGGTCATGCGAGGGACTCTTCCTAATTTTCTGATTCTCAGAGTCAGGTGGACTAGATCCAGCAGAAGCTTACAGTTAGAGTAGTTCATTTCGCAGCTTCCTATGAATTTTATGGCTTGTCCATCCTGCCGCAGGCTGCACAGAAAAGTTGCGTCGGACCTCAGACGTCGTGAGGCAGACTGGAAGACCCGACTGTGGGATGTTTGAGGTGAAGGCCTCTGACGTCCTCCCAAAGCATGCGCAAACAGGCCGGCCCTGTGCGCCTGTGCTCTTCATCGTAAACCTAAGCTAACATGCCGTCTCCCTTTCAAACGCAGGGAGAGAGGTATTCAACAGCTGACCAGCTAGAAAGCAGCGCGTACAGCACATTGGCCGAATCATGCGCTAAAGCTGATCCATGTAGTCATTAACAACCTGTCGTTTCTCAAAAAATCAGAAAATTGCAAGTTGACTTGCTCACGCTCACCGCTGTAGAAGCAAAGGCTTCAAGAGCCGGGTGGCGGATGGGTCTTCAAATCTTCCAAGGGGTCAGGGTCAAAGGCATCGATCTTGCTTTCTTTCAGAGGGTCCAAGGAGGAATCCCCCCCGCGCTGCTTGCGCCTGTGTGGGGGGAGGGGGGGGGGGGGAAGCCCATGTCTCCTGTTACTCAGAGTCGGTAGAGGCGCAGCATCTCTGATGCCTTCGAGACAAACACGCGGGAAGGGCCCGCGCCGAGCTCGGTTGTGCAGTGCAAGTGCTCGGCAGCTTTGATCTTGCGGATGCCTCAAAAGCGTGCTGTGCTCACAACGACGGTACTACTTATGATTTGCGCCTCCCTCTCAAGGGCCCCCAAAGACATGCGAAACTCAGACCCTTACCGTAACTGCCCTGGAAGGTGCCTAGTTTTGCTAATGCTTTGAAACCTTGAAAGGCAACTTACCGAAAGGCCGTCTTTGCTCTCTGGGCACTACTTCAGCCTAGCCCCTCGAGTCAAGCCCTGAAAATAGATAACGAATTCTCGAGCGGGTGCTGGGGTGGACACGCCCCGCATGCACATGCACGTGCTCAGACATCGTGGGAAAAGCGGCACTCGTTTCCGAAGCGGCAGGTGCCATTATCACCTGAGCAGTGGCACTGAGCAAGTCCTTAGCCTCAAACCGTAAACCAGTGAAGGGAAAACTGCAACTGCGAGCACTCTGAACCAGAACGCAGCACAATCCATGCCAGCGTGGGGTAGTGCTAGCTCAGGTGCTGACGGAAGTCGAAGCAGATGCTGTTGCCGCCTGCAGTTTGCGGTAATGGTTTCGGCTTTTGGCTTCAGGATGTGCACGTTAGCCCTTGATCCGTCTGCAACATGCATCCCAAGGCAGCTCTTCGACTGGCAGCATGCACCGCCTTTGACTGAATACCCGACGCCTCCTTTGCCTTTGCCACCGCCCCTCTTGCCTGCGATGCTTTTTCACTGATATGGAACTGATTTTCTTACTGGATGCTGCCGGATGCTACAAGTACCGGTGCAACTCACAAGCAGCTGAAATTGCCTCTGCCCTTGTCGCCATCGGGGCAGTCCCGTGCCAAGTGCGGACCTCCGCCTTGAAACCACAGACGACAGTCCGCGATATGTCTTAACGGATTCAATGTAGGGGGACTTCATGTCAATGTGACGGCATGAATTTGTGGGATGGTACATGATTGCAGTTTCTCCGGGAGCTCTCAACATCAAACTTGGGGGCACTAATTCAAAAGCCGAGGGCCAGGCAGCTGAAGCAGTCCAAATTCCTGCCTCCTCCCTTGCCACCTCCTTCACGGCAGAGGCTTGTGGTCACCAGCAGGATGTCACCCCCACTTACCGACTTGTCGTTCCGTACTTGAACAACCCGGCACAGCCATCGCATCCCAACATGCCACCCTGAATCCCCAACCAGTTCAACAAGCCCACTACCGTCGCATATGCCCGCTGAGCCACTGAGCCTTCAAAACACCTCAAAACCCTGAGAGCAGTCTGAAACAGGGGAACCTTCCGGGCAGTCACGTGCAAGGTGAGGCCCACCACAAGTGAAGCAGTCCATGCTCTTGCCAACTTGGAGAGGGCCAAGGGTTTAGGAAATGAACCAATGAGTTTGTTTCGTCGAGGCCAGACACATGCCTGCTCCATCTTCAGCGCAGGTCGCCTCAACTCTAAGCTCCCAGCTCTTCTTGCCCTTGCTTTTGCCACTGCCTTTCCCACCTGCCGTGCTAGCAAACCATGTGTGTTAAGCTCTTGACTGACTGCAGAATGCTTGGAGCTTGCGAGTTGCGTGGAACCACTGGCATCGGCTCTCAGCTCTCTGAAGCCTCTCAAGAACCGACTGAACACCGCCGAGGGTTACTACTCAGACACCTTCCGGGCAGTCGCGGGCAAAATGGTCTCCGCCACAAGTGAAGCACTCGATAGGGCCTGGCGAAGGCAGCGTCAGACGTGTCCGAGATGTTGGTAAACAGATTGTGCCAGGACAGTGCAACCAGCTCACACAGCATGCCCGTCGATGTTCCAGTCAAAACATGGCCGCGGCCATCCCACACACACACACACCTCCCACCCATGTGTGTATAGCATCGCCATGTGCTACACAGACGGCACTACGCATGGAGCATCCTGCGAGCACCTCGGGATGGGAGATGAATGCTTTAAAAAAACACTCTGCTTGCATTTAGGTGTCACCAGGCATCGGCCTGCGATAAACAAAACCTGACGATAAGACGATCAGCGCGACGGCGAGAATGGTTCTTGTGGACAGGCAAGTGGGCCATAGAACAGTGTGCCAAGGGTCAGCGACCAGCCCTCAAAACGAAAACGTGTACAACCTGGGTACGGTTGGCCGATGCTTGGGGTAATTCCCTCTTCTGCCGCTTGGGCAACTTCATGTGCCACGCGCATGAAGTCTTAGAGCTTGGATGTGCGACCACTTGAGAATGACCATGGCCTTACAAGCACCTACCTTTCGCGTTACGTTCTTTGCGTCAGCCTCTGCATAGATGGAACATGGCCCTCCTTTCAGACCCACGCCAGTTTCAATCACTCAGAACCTGCCTCGCATTGCTAACCACAAGCGCGCAAGGCGGATGTCGTTGGCGCTCAAACACGCTGCGCGCAGCTCGAGCCAACGGCTTGTCAGTAATCTGAGTCCGGGTCCTACATGGCCACATCACGACAATTCTGCCAGTCAGATGCAGGTGCCGCCAAGGTTTGGCGATCCTTTTAATTCAGGCAGATTGACAAACTCACTTCGGTGCCACTTGCACTCTGCTGTTGCGCAGAGAATGCTGCAGCAGGCATTAACCCCCCACAGATTAAGAACCCTTCGGACGATGCTCCAGACATCAAGTCAAGACCCAGAAAACTTGGAGCAGAAATGCTCCGAAACTCCCCGAGATGCCCCGAAACGTCCTGATCTTATCCTGTGGGGTGAGTTGGGGCGGCTGAGTTTCAACGACCCCATTGCGGTCGGTTTCCGACAGCTCCACGGGATGGCTGGGAAAACTCTCTGGGTCGAAGGGCTTCGGATTGCAGTCTAAGTTGTGTTCAAAGTGCGTGGGGTTTCGGGATGTTTCGGAGTTTAGGGCTTAGTCGAGGGCTCCGGAGGGTTGTGTTCTTAAGGTTCTGACTGGAACGACGTTGATCTCGGCTGCGAAAGCTTCCCCAACCATGCGCAGCTCTTCTGCGCGCTTGACCCCCCCCCGGCGAACATTCAAACCTTTCGCCCCCGAGTCTGAGCTCTTGCTGCACATGCCTGACACATGCCTGAACGAAAGTGACCCTACCAAAGCAAATAACGCTCGTAGACCCAAGATGTCCCAAGGCACTTCAATGCACCTGGCCTCTAACTTGTGCCTAGCGCTGGGTCTTCGGCACTTGTGGCAAGTTGAAGCTCACCTTTCGCGGCAGCCCTGGGCGTCCCACTGAGCTGGAGGTATCAGTCTCCTCGGGAGTTGGGATCAAACTCACGCTGAGAATCCACGCGCAGCTTCTTGTCAATGTTTAAGGATACAGAAATGGAGCAAGGTTTTGACAGGTTTTGAGACCAGGTGACCGCTGCGGAGGTGACAGTCACGCTGCTCGGTGACCTGGACAGCGCTGGCAGTGCTCGGAAACAAGCAACGTGTTGAGAGGACAACAGCACAGCACGTGCGGCAACGCGGCACACACGGCACACACGGCACACCAAAACCTGGCCAAGGACGCCCACCTCGAGCTCTGGCCGCCCCGCGGCCGCACCCGTGCCGAGGCGATGAGCGGGCGTTGGACCTTTGAAGTGGCTTGGTGCAAGGGTGCGACACTGGCGATGCCAACCATGAAAAGCAGCTCCCCCACCCCACCCCACCCCACCCCCACATTGAGTCTAACTGCATGACAGTGCGTGGTCGAGACATGTTGAGCCGTGCACTTGCCCGAACTCTGCGGATTCCAGCGCGAGCTCCTTCTGCGGGTGACAAAGGATGGGGCGCTTGAGCTCATGAAGACCTTGCAGATGTTGGCCCGGTTCAGGATCTCAAGGGCGGTCTACTGAATGCGCGCTTGCAACGCAACATCCTCGCAAGCACAAGCAGATGTAGCTCAGTCCTGCATCCAGTGGCCGCCTTGGAGCTCAGGCACCATCTTCTTGCAAGCTCCACGCCGAGTCCATCAACTATTCAAAAGGGCGGGGGAGACATGGGAAAGGGCGCCAAACGGCGCTAAGATAGACATGGGCCAAGTGCGGCCAAGCAGCTCTGTGGGGATCTGGCGGCTTCGATGATGCGCCTCTCCGTGACCTGAGCATCTTGTCGGATCTGCATCAAAGACTTAGACCGTCAACACCCTGTGAAACAGCCCCACAGTAACTGTAGCACACTTCAGCTCGTATTCCCAGTCCACGCCGATTCCTGGATTCCTTCCTCCAAAAACCCTCAACATCATAAACCTCCCTAAGCCCCCATGTTGCCCCCTGGAGATGAGCTGCTTCCGAGCGGGTCATGGGAGGCCGCTCCCAAAGGTGCTCCGGCGGCAGGGGCACGTAGCCTCTGACTCGCTTGAGCGCCGAGGGTTTGGGGCGATTGGGATTGCTGGGGTTGAGGGTGGCTTCGGGAGGTCAGGGGCGACGGGAGGGGGAGTTGCAGAGTTGAGGAGTTTTCAGGGATCATGGATCTACCCCCTCCACTCCAAGTACATGAAGCTGCTCAGGTAGGTTGTAACAGTCGCGAAGGAAATGTGCCCCCTCTTTTAGTCTGCCTTGAGCACCAAAGACTTGGGTATTGAGTGCACGAAGATGCGGGAGAACCTCCTGTGCCCCATACCCAAACTGTGCTCTCACATCCTCAAAACTCTCCTCCTCTCAGCCGCAGCGGCACTTGGGCAGCGCCCGCTGCGGCGGCGCTCTGTGCCCAGTTCTCAGCCGCCCCGTTGCCGTCCAAAGTTTGAGGCCCTGGAGTTTCGTGGCTGGGACTTGAGGAAGTTGGCGAACATTAGTATGCTGTCAGCATCCTCTGCCTGGTGCCGGGTGTTTGTTGGCCGGATCCATGATTCTACTGTAGGAGTTTTGAGACGCAAGGCCCAGGGCCAGAGGGTCCAGGCTTGGCTGGCTGGGTAACGGATCGATGCACCGTAGAAGGGTGTGCACTTCCAGGAAACCTCTCCCCTCACCGAGAAGTCCGAAGCCTCAAGCCACGCTGCCCAAATTTGTCCAAGCCCTGGGCCCTGGCCATCCTTTCCCCATAAAGCAGTTAAGACCCTGGTTCCCAGACGCTCCTCGCCCTCATCGATGGTCTGGTGCACCATCTGGCGTTGCGTTGAGGGCTTCGAGATACGTTGAGGCTAAGGGCCCACTACCGCCGGCTGCGGCTTACTCGCTGGGTCCCTTATGTGTTAGTTGCCGACGCGTCCAGTCCGATGCTGTTGAATAGCTGTCCATATGCGTCGGGGCTTGATCATTTAGACCCTTGCCTCATTTCAGAGACTGGGCTTGGGGCCTAGGGTGTCGTGCTCTCCGGAAAGTGCCTTGCGCGCAGTACGCCGAGCCACTTGCACGTTGTCCTCAGCCGCCAATGGGTTGTGAAGAGAGGTGGGTCTGTGACATGCGTGAACTTCAGGAAACTTTGAACCAGTGTCTTGAAAGGCATGGCTACCTTCTTGGATGTCCCAGATGCTGCACTATAGGCTACTAGTTACACTAGCTCTGGTAGCCAAGGCAACCGATGGCGCTAGCAAATGCAGTCCAAGTTGCTACGCCGCAGTAAATCCACTCGGTCTTTTTGTTGGTGATGCCTCATGCATGGACAATTTGCACGCTACACACGGCCTTGGCAGGGCCTGGCCCACGCGGTACTGGGAAAACAGCCTTTAAGCTGCAAAGTCCTAAAGAGATCTAAAAAATCCTGACTAGCTTGCGATCCAAGGGACGGCTCAGGAAGTTCGTCTCAATGCCCTCAAACAGAGTGCTTGATGGCATTGCAAGAAATGAAGTGCAAGGAAGCGGCTAGCAGCTGACATGAGTGCGTTTACGGCAGAGAGTTTCGACACTCTGCGAAGTGCCGCGCTCCAGGGCCTCAGGAGCATCGATGAGCTTCCCACGCTCTCGGAGCATCTTGGCAGCCTTGTTCGGGCTGGGCTATGAACATCTGTCGGAGCTCGTGAAGGTTCAGAGTTGAGGGGGGTCAGACCCGATATACGCGATCGGCGAATGTCTAGCCTGACCATAGCAGCCCAACCTAGGATGGGGTCAGATCGCATCCAGGCAGCATCCGCGTCCGTGTTGGCCTGGGCTAAGACATGTCAATCAAGAGCTCACGCACGTGAGCTCATCAGGTTTACAGCGATAGTGACTCAAAACTTCACTCTTAGCCCATGCGATACTGTAGTATATTGGTGCCTGTTTGTCCCGGAAGTTCTTGCGCGGCCCAGTTGCGATGTTCTGTGTCTGTGGCTTCGGCACGTCGGCCCGGTGAGGGACACCACGGGCAATGCGAAGGTTCCTGGCCGGCACAAGATGTGAACTACAGATGTGCAAACAGGGCCCGGTAGCAAAAGAAGCTCCGAAACAGGCTCCACGGGTACCTCCAGGTGTCCTCCACCTCCTCTTCTTCCTGCAGCACCGGTGCAGATAGCAGCGACTTCAGTCGGGAAGCCCCGGAATGCGACTCTCCGCCAAAACCTCTACAGGCACAAGGTCTGCTTGAAGATGCGATGGGCCCCTTCAGAAGAATCTTTAAATTTATCTCAAGCCTTAAAACCCTTTTGTAAACTACCAAACAAGCATTCGAGAAAAACTGCTGGGCTCCTCAATAACGGCGCCCTCATCGTCCGTCTCTTCCACGCACTCCTCGATCGGGCCTGGCACGCTATGGTGACACTGACGTCCTGCAGAACGATGACAACTTCCCATTGCGCTCTTCGCATCTCCGCCCGCAAGTGTGGCCTCTCACCTCACCCGTTCTGGCCGATGTGCGCGACTCCGTCCTCAGGGCTTCGCAACGATAAAGTGCTCGAGGCAATTGTGCCTGCGGAAAGATCAGAGCCCTCGAATTATCCATAATTAATTCCATAATCATGAAACCTGAATCCGAAAGGAGGAGAGGTTGAGATGAGACGAGAGAAGGATGAGAGAAAGAGATGACTTAGGTGTCCCCACAATCACCCTAGGGCCCGTGCCGGAGCTGCTGGCGGGTGTCGAGCCTCCTGAGACAATTAGACACGGCCCTTTTTTTTTGCCTTTTCGCCAAAAAGATGTTTTTTGAGTGCCACCTTGAGTCCATTGCTAACTCTACTAAAGACTCAGTCTAATACTCCGTGGTTTAGGTGAGCTGAGGATTCAGTTCGGGACTGAGTGGAGCTGGGTGCTTGCAGGGACTCGGCAGGGACAGGTCAGACTTGCGCAGGACTTTCCCGGAGCTCTCGCCAGTACACGAGTGTTGACTTTCGTCGAAACTTTAATTGATCTCAAAGATTGCAAGTTCCTTTCGCCCGCCTGTTCGCGAATCTTTCACGGATTTCGCGCATGTTCACATGGCATGGAGATGTAGATTGTACACAGCTCCTTGCAAGATTCTTGCAAGGACATTTAGATCGACACCCAGTTCGATTCCCTTGGGGGCGATGAATTCCACATCAACCAAAGCTGGTTTTGTACTTGGGCAAACTGCCATCTCGCACTGTGGGGACAACAAACCGTTACAACCCCACACATGCACGCAACTCGGCCTTATCGTCGTAGCGCCCGTCACCGAGGCGCTGGTGGCTGCCGAGGCGCTGGTGGGGGGTCGCGGGGATGGGGAGCCTGCGCCATGCAGACAAGGACTCTACTAGCGACAGACGATAAGACTTTGAATGCGATTGTCAGACACACTCACACACTCCTGTGTGGCCTGGCCTTGGGCCATCTGGGCTTCATCAAGGAGCTCGCCGCTGGGGTCCTCGCTCTGGGTAGTCAATGTGTTCAGATGTTTTCAGGCCTCTCCCGTGCCGGAATGACCAAAAAGGAGCTGCAAGGCTTAGCCAGCCTCGCCAATCTCTTCCAACGACGCTTGGGCAGGCAGCTCATCCCGGTTGGCTTCCTCGCATGCGCAGTTAAAGGAAGCGTCCCAGCTCAGCAGAATGAGGAAGGTGTAAGGAGAAAGCAGAGAGAAGCCCTTGAGCACCTTTGAAGCACAGCTCAGCATACAGCGCAAAAATCCCCCAAGGTGCGCAGGATCCCTGGACGGACTCTCAAAGCCTCCTGACCCACTGACCCAGGCCCCACAATCCCAAAAGCGCCTGCGCTTCAGCCGGGCGCTCGAAGCTGTGGCCCTCACCGCGGAGGTGGCCTTTGACATTTGAGCTCTGAGACCCAAGCCTTTAATAAGTACGGGGCACCTGTCATTTTCTCCTCGGATCCTCCCGGACTAGACACTATTGCTGACTTTGCTGGTATCAGCTGCTATTGCTGTCGGATGGGGGGTCGGATCTGCAGGTTGAAAGCCACCGGCCTACGCCCACAGAGGTCACAATTGCCACATTGCCGTCTCCGGTGACCTGAAGCAAATTGAAATGCCCAGAATTCATGTTGAGGCTGTTTTTGCCGAATCTCATCAGCAGTTGGCAGTTGCAATTTCAGCACATGCTGCCAGCTTAACAATGACAATCCTCAACTTGAACTAGAGCCTACTACAACGCTTGCACCTTTCTCAGCGCATGGCTCCCCGAATGGCGCATCCACGAGGGGCATCCACCATCGCACTGGGGTTCACCGTCCAATCGTAGTAGCCTGGTGCGGCGGAACTTGCAGCAAGTTGAGTACGCGTGGCTCACACGGGAAACTACGAGAAGGGCTGCTGCGGCCTGCATGGTAGCGCGTGATGGCTCGGAAGTCACCCTGGTCCAGGACCTGGCAAGTTTTGAGAAACTGCCCGGCTGCAGGGAGGTGCTTGAGGGTCTTTGGGGAATGCCTGCCTCTTCGGGCCTGCAAAATCCGCCCTCGCCTTGCCTGGCTGTGCTCATGTGGCACATGCTCCAAGGCTTCTGGCCGGTGGGCCAGGCGCTCCTGAGAAGGCCCGGAGCTAAGGCGAACTACAACATCACTGCACAGAGTGCAATTGCCGATGTTGGACAATGCAGATCTCTTGAACAATCTACGGGTCAGTAAAGGCGAGACCCACATCCCCCACATCCCCCACCAACCACCCCAGCACCTCCACTCCGACCATGTCTGCCGCGAGACCACCGAGGATTCCCAGCGGCATCACAGGTGCACCTTAGGCAACTTCTTTGGAGCACGAAGCCGAGGGTTGCTGTGTGTTCGGAGCGAAGGCATGCCTCAAAACTCTCCTGCAGTTCTCTCCTAACTCAACCAGCGCATGTAGATCTGGCTGAGCTCAGGAGTCAAAGTAGCCTCAGGAAGCTCTAGAAACGACTACTGCTGCTGAGGAACCGCGGAAGTCCATCACAGCGCCCGTCCTGGCGCGAGCACCCGGGCATAATCTGCTTGCGTTTCGCTCTCCACACCGGGGTCACTTCAGGGTCTCATCATGTGTAGGGGACGGGTGAGGCACACTTGGAATCAGCCCGGTACCCCGTGACGTCATCGGCCTCCTCTTTCTCGGCGCCACCTCCTTGCGAAAGCAGTGTGGGGCAATACTGCGGCCAGACCATGCTTGCCAACTGCTTAGCCGGTTAACGCCGGGCCTAAGGCCATCGAATTCCACCGACCCCTCCATGAACGGGTGCTCTGTGCGCCCGGTGCCTCATCCACCACCTTCACAATCTCGGTACTGGGAGGCCGCTCTCCCAGCACATCCTGGCTCTGTCATGTTTGGACGCGCTTCGGGCTTCGGATCCCTTTTGGGCTTAGAGGGACCGCAATGGTCATCTTCAAAATGCCATGTGGGCCCAATCGCAGGCTCTGACTCAGCTTTCGTAAGCTGGCTGCAAGTGAACGAATGGGTTTCGGACTTCTTCAGGAGAGGGCTTCTCAAATATCAGATTATGCCCCCCATTGAGTGCCCGATCAACCGACACTGTGCCCCGGCGCCTCGTCCTCGGGACTGAACCTGGGCTGAAGAACAGCAGTGCGGCACATGTGGATCAGGTCACACGAATGAGTGTTTGGTACTCATTTTGAACTCTATTGAGCTCCCCATTCTCACAGTGTGCTGTGTGATGCTGTTTGCAACATTCACCTGAGGTCACCTAGTTGGGAGCTTTCGGATGCCAGGGCTCAATCCTGTGATGCTGAGAGCTTGTGAGCAGCTGGGGGTGCAGCGTGTACAACTCTTGCAGAAGTAGCTCATCCTCTTCCTGTGCGGCTTGGCGCCGGTTGCGTCATTTGGCTCTGGTAACGCCACCGACCTCTGATCACCTAGTGCAAGGTAGAGCCCAAGGCTGTACCACACCGCTACACGCTTCCCCCTGAACCCAGCCCCCAGAGCAGCAAGGAAGGCTACGCTGTCTCTTCGCGGTCCAGCGTGGTGCTCTTGGTAAATCCGCTGGCCTTCGAACCTTGGAGGCACAGCCGCTTTGTCCCACATCGGAAACTGGGAAACTGCGAAGCTGCACCATGCCTTGGGAGCTCCGCATGGTACTGTCGAGTGGGTGTGTGCCTCAGCTCGGGTTGTTGCTAAATTCCAGTCATTTCTCATTGGCAGGGGAACAAAGACTAGACATGAATCAGGTGTTGCCGCTCTCAACGACCCGCGCACCGGCGCCGGCCATTGTGCAGCTAAAAGTGTTTGCGCTTGTCTATCCTGAAGTACATTTTTGTTTCGAAAGATTTGCTTCGGGGAGCATTGCGAAGTTTTGGAAGCGTTTGCCAATGCACTTCTGTACATTCGCAAATTCTGTCTTTTTGCAACGTTTGTCGCTTCATTGTTGCGAAACGAGCGAATTGAGGCCTCCGAGATTCTTGCAAGGGCTTTCTTAAAAGATTTTCCTATCTTTTGGGGGCACTCTGACTGTTAAGCCACAGCTTTGTCGCAAGTAAGCCAAGCTTGCTGAGAGATTTGCTGTAAATGGGTTAAGTCTTTGTGGTGTGGGGCTATGGCCTCGAAAGCGCTCTGAGAGCTCTGTCAGTCACATACACACCATTCCAGGCATCACAGCCAACCTCTCTAAACAGAATGCTTCGGCGGTAGCGGGTGCGGAGCTTTGGTTGGTCCAGGGTTGAGATGCGATGAGCCGGACGAAAAATGCCCCGAAACTGCCAAAGCATCGGGATACATCTGCATGAACAACCTGCACCCAAGGACTGAGCAGAAAGCTGGGGCTCCAGCCCAGCTTCTCATGTTTCACACCGCGTGCCCACACCTCCATGGGAACCTGCACTTGGGAGCTGGGACTGGAGGACCCGAAACCCAGGCCCGAGCCGCGGTAATCCTGCAACCGTATGGCAACCTCGTGGTGGACCTTTCTGAAATCCACAGAGATGGACCTATAGGCACCCTGACATCGCCGGGCACCCTCTCCACGTGTGCTGCAAAGCCCACGAGGACATCTCCATGTCCAGCACTGCTGTCCATGTCTGGCCTGAAAGTCACTTTGCTGCCGGCTGTAAGCTCTTTGCCCTGACATCGATGCTTCAAGAGTGTTGTCACGCATGGATTCCTGACAATGTCAGGTATCAGTCCGGGACAGCCGGAGGAAGGCCACAGTGGAACAAGGCTGGGGGAAGAATACCTTCCAAGTCGGCACAGGCTCAACGAGTGCGCTTGCAAGTGGCATGGCGTGGCATAGCCCACCTCGCGGAGCAGGTGCAGCGCCGAGGACCAGAACCGCACTGTATCGTCTTTACCTGGCATTCGAAACATCTCGGAGCAACTCCTGTCCAGTGCTATCTCGCTTCGCAACAGGCAGGCAATAATAACCCTGGGTGTATGCCCTGGGGCTTCCCTGGATCTCTGCACCTACAGACACAAAGATCTCGATGGGAAGCAAGTAATCGACCTGCGGTACCAGGCTCCACTTGCTTTACCAGCTAGGAGCACTGAACGTGCTTGCATGGTTGATGCACACCTAGTGCTTCTTTGCAAAACAAAGCATCCAGAGAGGTCGTGTTGGCCTGCAGCACAGGCCCGCCATGAGATGCCTGCGACGAAAACACCTGCAAGCAAGTCTACCACAGGCAAGAAAAGATCATCGAACCATTTTCCGGTACAGCCTTTTTCGTACAGCATGGCAACGTTCGAGAACAGCGCATGCGCCGACTCACTTTGCCAGAAGCCCGACAGAACTGAGCAGAAATGCAGCGAATCAGTGCCAAAACCCATCCCAGAATCCATCGTCTTCCAATCCTTGCTCGAAGACGTGCCTCAACGTCAGGCGACGACCACGGGAACTCCACCTTTTCGTAAGACGAAGGCCGAATGGTTAAGGCTCCAGGAGATGTGCGGTATCCGGGTGAAGTGGGCTGCTTGTGCCCCGAGATCTGTGCCATCAACCTACGAACCCTCCCTCCACACAACAAAGCAACCCCCAGACCAACTCTGAACCCCTTCTCTAACCGAAGCCCTGAAATCCTTGATTAAATTAAAGCACAGCCGGATACAGCAGGGACCCCCGGCCGTCTCCAAGGCGCCCCGGGAGTTGCCCAAAGTCACACCCAGCAGCTGCGAAGGGTCCTGAGAAGAACGCAGGGAACTCCAACAAGGAAGGGAACTTCGGGGCGGAGTCGCAGGTGGCACTCAGAAAGCTGTCACCCCTACAGCGTGAATGGGAGTCGACTCTGAGCCAGTCAGCCGGTCCCTCTCCGGTTCTGCATTTTCAGCCACAAAGGGTCGTGCTTCTAGTGGGAGAGCTAATGCAAGCAAAAAGGTATGCCTTTGTACATCTTTGCACACCGCAGGTGATGGAGCACAGTGCCCAAATGGCATCATGCATTCTACACCTGTACTATACATGCAACAAACTAATTATCTTCAGGAGCCTCACACCACGATCGTCACCGATTCGGCCACAGCCTTTCGTGCCTTCATCGCCTTGAGTATGTTGGAGTAGTTCCAGGTCAAGTCCTGTGGGGCTTGGCCACTGGAGTCGGCGTTGGGGATTGGGGATGCGAACGCGTGTTGAAAGCTGAATTCTCACTTACGCACCGGGGACTCCTTGGCAGACTTGAGCTCGCCGGAATTGCGGTCGATCTGCTCGTTCATGTGCATTCCGTTCGTCAGGTACTTCTTCATGAGAAGCCTGGGTGAGCGCAGAGATGGAGCAGGGTCTACTCCGACTTGTACAGTATGGCTGCATCCACTGCCACTACGACCGAACTCCCCAAGTTGTCACGGGGCAGAAGCGCATCGCCGGCCCCGAGCAGGTTTTGCGGCGTCGGCTCGCGGCCCAGGAGGTCGGTGAGAAGCTTCTTCGCCTGCAAGAAATCACCAAGAAAACAACCCGTGCAGCGTGCAGAGACAACGGCAGAATCAGCTGGGGTTTGTGGGTTCCGGCCTCTGCAGATGGCTGTGAGTGAGCAGCAGCCGCTGCCTCGCGGAAAAGACTTACAAGTACTAGCAAAATCCCTGCCAAGAGAATAAGAATCAAGCAGAAGCTCTCGTTGCCGCCTGGCGGTACAGCAGCGTGGCTGCAGAGGCGGTCAGCAGCACCCAAGGATTCCTCGCGAAGGCATCGGCTGCAGCTTGCAGCAACACACGTCACGCACCTTCACTTTTCACAAAGCCCGCAGCAAACCCTCCCCTTAACGTCATCCATGCCACCCCCCGTCGTAGCTGTCACCCTCGTAGCGGCCGAAGAGGACGCCGGGCATCCCCTTCGATGCTGCGTCCTGGTTGATGGCATAACCTGGAGCTGCGGCAAAGGGAAAAAACGAACGCTGAGACCTCGCGAAAACCATCCCAACCCAACTCTGAACTGCATCTCCAGGTCTTGAAACACATCAAAGCCACTCCGGCAGAAGAGGCTGCTGAGCTCCGACAGCGTGGCAGCGACCTCCTTGCTCAGGGGCGCGAAGACTCCTGTTCCAGCGCACGGAGGAGATTTCGTAGCAGGTCACGTGTCAACACGTAACGCGGCCCCATGACCGAGTGCGAGCTTGGATGAAGCTTAGCATGTCACAGTGTGGCAAAGTCTCCGTCATCCATGTCTCCCACATTGAACGCCTCGATCACTGCTGTGTCCTTCCAAGTTGCCAGACAGAAGAGAAGTGCGACGCAAAGACTGGAGCTTTTCTCGCAACCGAGGAGGCCAGAAAGCCGTCCTTGCGGCGGTTGGAGGACTCGAAGACGTAGCCAGACGAGTCGATGTGGGACGACAACTTGCTGCCTCGACACCACTAGCGCGCACGTCTTCCGAGCGAAACTGGCATTCAGCAACTCGAGTACTTAGACCAGCAAGGTTGCTCAGAGTGCTCGCCGCCGCACTGTAGTTGGACGCCCGCCCCTCGTCGCCGACGGACTTAGCGAAGGCTGCGCCTTGCATCAGTGCCTGCGCGGGGAACAGCTTCTTCGGGTCACGTTGGGCAATTGTTGGGTCCCACAGCATGTCACAGCTGCTCGCTCACGTGCCGGCGCCTTGCGCATGGTGTACCGGTTCCAGAAGAAGTCGGGAGAGCGAACCTCCTCCCAGAGGTCACAGGTCTCGCTCTCATAGTTCCCCGCCACCCAGTCCAGGTTCTGCTTCCTTGGGCGCTGCAAAGACTCCAAACATCACAAAAATATCACAACAGACCTCTCCATTCATCGAAAGGAAAAAATCCATGCATGGGGGTACCCTCATGGCCGACCTAAACCGCTCGTAGGGCCCGAGGCTCACCAGGGCCCAAACGCGGTCGCGGATAGCGGGCTTCAGCCCCGCGTAGGCCATGGCGGTGATGGCGCGGAGCCCTGGATGGGATATCTCGGGGAGGTCCAACGGCAGAACGCTCACAAATACTCAGACTCAGGAATGCACTCAGGATACTCACAGACATAGTGCTGATGTGGATCCCACCTGGCCCATCATTCTGTGGTCGACACCAGCCGCCAGTGAAAGGAGTGCCCTCTGGGATGAGGTACTTCCTGAAAGCACCGCGAGGGAAGCTCCTATGTGCCCTACACTCTAGCTGCCGTCCCAGGCTCGGCTCCACGAGGATGTTGATGTTGTTGGGGTCCGGTTGGTTCTGGGATCCTTGGAGCATTCCGCTGCTCACCAAGCCAATGGAAGCAGAGAATGCGAGCAATTTTTGGAAGCAGCAGAACGCTTGAAACCCTTCTGCTGCAATGCCCACAGCAACACCCTGCCGCCCACCCAAACATGCCCAAGCAGCCCAAACAGACTCATGCCAAGGATCTCTCCAACCAAGAAATCCAGGCATCCATCTTCGCCTCCATGTCCTGCAATCGGATGAGCTCCCCTTTCCAAAGCCCTCATAGCTGACTCACAACGCCTCCCTGAAGCATCGAGCCTGATCCCTAAACCGAAGCGCGTGTCCTTCAGGGAGCCCTTCGACTGCAGGTACGCGTTCATGCTCAGAGCGCCATCGCGCGCCCAGGCAAAGTAGTAGTCCTGGGCACGGAGGGTGCGGAGGTGCAGCACATGAGCACAGAAATTGCCACGCGCATGCACAATGCTACAAAGGCCTGTGGGCTTGGAGGTGCCCCTGCCGTATGCAGGACCGACAACACAAGAGACCCCCCAGGTTCACGGGCTGTATGCCATGCTCTCCAGCCCCAGCGTACGTGCTCCATTGAACCCCCAAGTTCCTTGAATTGATAAACCCTGGCTTCTTCGTTGTGGCTGATCTGCCAAGGTTCACCTCCAGGGCCAGTTGCATGATCGGGCGAAGCCATGACCTCGCCAGTGCCCTCTGCGTCGAGGTTCGCTTCGAAGTACTTCAACACCTAAGTCATGTACTCGTACTGAAGCTGTCCGAAGCATTGCCATGTTCTGACAGCATATGCCGTGCCCCGATTATGCCACGTCGGGCCTCTTCGAGCTCAGCATCCGAAAAGGGAGCCTTGGGGTCGGCTCCGATCTTGCAGGTCTGGACTTTCTTGTCGCTGAAGAAGCACCAGGGCAGGTTCTCTGGATTGGGATCCACAGGAGACCAGCAACAGCCAGCCGCCGTGCAGGAGCCCTCGTCCATCCTGCGCTTGCCCAGAAAAAGTCACGAAGCGCGATGCGCCTACTCCGTACCGCAGCCTGACATCCAAAACATGAACTCCACCATTGACCATCACCACAACAACGGAAGGAAACATGGAAGAACCAGAATGGCAAGGTCCACGTAGTCAGATGTAGTAAGTTACCAGTAAGCAAGATGGCACAACGTGTTTGGGGACCAAGGCGGACCAAGCGTCTTCTGGCAGTCGACCCGATCCGTGGGGGCAATCTCCGTACATCCTTCAGAAGCCCAGGCGGGAAGGACGAGGAGGCTCGATGCGCCGAGGGCCTTCAGCATCTTCAGGGCCATCACCGCAGGACAGCTCGGGTTCGTCACTGGTGGCGTCTGGTCTGGTTCAAATGGCAGAAATGGCTTTGGAGCCGTGGTGCCAGCGGTCTCTTCTGTGCCCCTCTCTCCCCGGACTTCTTACCCAAGGTTCCGACCCCACTCTCCCCCCAAGACGTGACAAGCAACAAGCTGGACACTCCACGCCCCAAAGAGACAGCTTAGCTCTCCTCCGGGCGTTGGAAATGGACTTGCTCCTCGCCTTGCTCGAGATTCGCCTGCACTCAACCAGAGACTGCCAGAAAAGCCGATGAAAACATGGGAAAACTCGCTCGCAATATCCTCATTGGTGCATAATTGAAGCCTCCTGCGCCGGCTCCGGGGGAGCAAGGTAGGGCGTCAGGCACGAGAACTCCGGAAGAACTGGGCGGACAAGCCAGGTTGGAACAGGAGAAGAAGTGTGTGGATTTGATAGGCCTTAGAGTGGATGCTACAGGTAGCAATGTTTGCCGAAGCTGAGCACACTGAGAATGCGCAGAAACGTCAAGCACCTGGCGCAGCCGGAACAGGATACGGCTGTCCTCAGCCTGCATAGGACAGCTACGGCTCGTAACAGGAGGGCATCGGACGCGATACTGACTTTGGCAAAGCCCTGGTCCCCAGCACACGTTCAGAACGTGGCTCTGGAGCAAGATATGAACGAGGTCATTCATTCAGATGCCGATGCCTGACATACTTTCAAGCCATTCTTCGTGTCGATGGTCAGGATGAGGTCGGCCACAGACTTCACGAACTCGATGGCATAGTCGTGGCGCCTGCACCCCGGAGCACTTTTCTGCTATCCCATGGAAGAGGAGATCATCCCCGACAGCCCCCCCAGATGCCCCAAAAGTCACGGCGCCTCCATCGGCTGTAGAGCTTCAGCTGCGGCCCGCTGGGCGGAAAGGGCCGCTGTCCAGGCGTCTCAGCTCAGGGGATGTCACAAGCGGGGTGATGGCAGGGGAGGGCGTGCAAGAAAGAACGGAAAAGCCAAGAAAAAAAGCTGCAGGCAAAAAGCCGACTTGGAACGGTTAGCTGAGGTCAAGGCCCTGGATTCCTCCAGAGCAGCCTCGTGCTCCTGAATTCTTTTGACTTGTGGGACTTCTCTGGATTCTTACAGCGCCCCTCACATTGTGTACTGCCTACAGGAGTTAAAAACAGCAGTTGGCCTCGGCACACTTGCAGAAACAGCAAGTTTGTTCCCGGCGTCCTTCTCGATTTCTGCCAAACGCCCATCCGCCTCCTACAGGTACTTTGAGCATCTACCAGGAAACACACCAAGACCGCAAATCACAATGCGTGGGATGCGCACGCCTTTGTCTTGAGGACTTGCGTCCGCATTGTCTTGGCGCGGCTCCTGCCTGGATCAATGCGACAGGCCCGCCCAGCACATGCTGTTGTTCATACATTGCTTTCGAAGCATTCATTCCGTGACGACTGACATGGACATTGTGAGTTCTGCACAGTTGAGAAATGCCGCTTTTCATCTTCCCTCACCCAGCTGAGGTTCGCGCGCTTCATTTCCTTGTTCGGCAGATGCGGGGCAATCCTGGCCGCGCCCCAGACACCCCCATACACTACACACACACACACACATGCATCCCAAAGTCCCCGCTCTCTTTGTGGAGGCTGGAGGCTATAAATCAAGTCGATAATGGTCCCGATGCTCCCTAGTGAAACACCGTGAGAATGCTCATGGCACTGCTGCTGACAGATGGCCAAGATGAGGCCAAGATGCAAACATGTTGCAGTGAGTTTGCACGCTTGCACTCCGTCACGCGGTCTTATTGTCTGACTACAAACTGATGCAACTTCGTCATTTTGCTGGAGTCGTCGCGCTCCAGATACCAATGGTTTGGAGTAGGACATTGCGTGGCTTTCGCTGGCACATGTCTTGCAGCCGGCTGCGGCTCAGGACGACACAAGGTTGCATCTCGATGTTGGTCAGACAATAAGACCAAATGACAGGGTGCCCGCCACACTTTCGTGGTCCCTCGGGCACGCAAGCCTAAAGACAAACCTCCATGACTTCACAAGGAGGTCTGAAGCCTGCTCCACACCGGCAGCTCCATCAGGAGGTCTGCAATCTTGAAAGCCTGGCAGGGTTCGGGAGCCCTGGGCTTGACTCTTTGTTTCATCCACATGCTTCCAATGCAGAAACAAAAATGCTGCGTCGCCTGGAGGGTGCCCATCTGTGTACCCACTAGCAGGTACCAGTCGCGCCTTAGCTTGGAGGGATATAGGAGGGCAACGCGCTGGAGCATTCACACTCACTCTTTCCATTTTCTCCCGGTGCAAGCTCATCACTGTGCTCTCGGCAGCCTAATATGAAACGGATGTTCAGCTTTGAAACGCGGGGTGCCAGCTGCCGGCTGATCTCGGCCCCTTTGGTCATTCTTCAACACCCCTATCATGAATTCCGTGTGTCTGGAGAACAGCCCAAACTCGAGACTTGAACTGGTGTGGGGGGGGGGGGCGGGGCAAGGTCTTGCGGCAGAGGAGACAGCAAGCGGATGCTTTCCATCGGCTTCAAGGGCCTTCAGATTAGACCTCTTAGACATCCCACGAAGCCAATGCAGCACCTTCGCATGTCCTAGTGCTTTGCATGAGCAGCCTTGCCGGCTTTCACCAGCGTGCCAAACTGGGAGGGATCCACTTTGACGCCAGTTCTTAGATGCGAGACTTGAGACTTACTTGCTACACACCTGCACAAGCGTGCCGGGCGGGCTCTCTAAGCACAAGAACCTTTTGGTCTGCTGCAAATTCGGGCTGACTTGAACTCCGTGGACCAAATCCAAAACTGTCCTCGCATGCTTGCCATTGGTTCTGAAGAATCGGCCTAGCGTGTAAGACAAGAGGCATCGAAGACACAAACAGCATACCACCTGAGAATGGTGAGCAAGCCGTTTTCGAGAGAGGAGAGACACCCTGCCACTGGTAAAATCCAGGATACTTGAATCGTCTGACGCATCGTTAAAAAAGTCTCCTACAAGTACCTTCCACACAAGCTGACTGTGCGTGCTTTGCTTAACTGCAGCAGGCCGGCCCCACAGGAAGGCAATCGTAAGGACGACCTCGGTTAGGTGACAGTTAGGGGCTGGGTTTGAGCATCCCATGATGACCACGGGCACTTGGCAGCGGCAAGGGGCATTCAGCATCAAGACGACAAGTCCAACAGCCATCCAGCGCTTGCAGCTGAACTTGTCCTGCGCACGCGGCCAGGTTTTGGATTGGTCTGGCAAAAAAATCGGCTACTGGCATATGAGGCTTGTGCATGGTCCAATGATTTTTTCGCTAGAGCAGTGTAATCGCATAGGGAAAAATCCAATGACTTTGCACCACAAACTTCCGCAGACCTAGGTCGAAGCACACATCATCAGCTTTCGCATACTGTCCTGAAGCCAGTTGACCATGTTGTCAAAAGGTTTGGAGATGGCCAGAGCAATGCTGATCCGCACTGGTCGGACTATGTTGCTAATCACCTTGGTTGAAGCCAGATACCCATTGGGTTCAGCAAACTGAGCAAGAGCCAGAGCCAGCTGTAGCACCGACAACAGCTTCGTATGCAGACAGTCGCCCTCATCAACATGTGGCCTATACAGCTGAAAGTCCGATGCCCGTGTTTAGACCCAGTTTTGCATATCGCCTCTTCGTGAACCACGTGACATAAGCTGATGTGAGGTTGCTGCGGAAACCTCACGGAACAAGTAGCGGCCACAGCCTCTAGACTCTCGACTTTAGATCTCACCGCGGCACGTAAAGTCCGGCCCAGGTAATGCCGAATTGCTTCAAGGCCACCTGAAGGCGAAAGAAGGTTATGAAATGTTGAAGCTCCGCGAAGGTTCGAGAGCGGGACGGCTGACATGTTGCAAACTCTTAAAAGCAAAGCCTGAACAGATGATGCTGCCTTTGGGTCTGGGCTGTGTCACAGCTGACATGCTTGGTGGCCCCGAAACCCTAAACCCTTTTGCAGCGGCCCTAAACCCTAAACCCTAAAACTTCAGCTAGGGCCCCCTGCCGAGCTGGCCAGCGGGCTGGCGCCAGTCGCCACAATCGAGCGATAGGTGGCCAACAGGATCCTTGAAGATCAGAAGCCACTAGGGCCGACAGCATCTGTTTTGCAGAGCATGAACGGATATGTTCAGTTCATATTATGCAGTTCTGCCTTTCTATATGAGTGTAGCGGAACAGTGACCTGTGCTGCATTGTGCATATAGGAAGTGGGTGGAGTCTGCCTGGTCGGCCCTTCATGAGTGTGAGAATGCAAGCGTTCGCAGTGCAACCCAGGTGCAAGAGCAGGGCATTCACATTTGAGACGAAGCCATATGATAAAAGGCACCTCATACATCATTGCAGCTGCTCTGATGAACATGAGCACGATTCGAAGCCTCTGCCGAAGCGCATGAGACCCATCTTCCGCAGGGACTTGGAATCCATCTTGGCGTTCCTCAGTATGCATGGGTGGTCACAGGGCCAGATTGGCATGAGGACGCTGTGAATTAAAAGGCAATCTGCAAGACATACAACTAGCTGAGAAGCTTTCGCCACCAGCGCTTGAACCGCGCACCCAGCGAGTTGCTTTCCTCCGTAGTGCTGCTAGCCACCTCCAGAGGGTTGAACGCGCATTGCGCGAGGTTGGTACTGAATGTGATTGGCGAAAACATCACGAAATGCTCCTGAAAGGCTCCTGCCTCCTCCGTCTGTCCCTCGGTGCCCTCTGTCTCCTCTGCCCGTCGGCGGCACCGAGCGGCGACGCCCACCGCCACGCCACCACAGAGGGCTGCGGCACTTGGCTGGGGCCTCGCATGGGTCGCAGGCCACAGGAGGTGTCAAAAGATTTTCAAAGCAGGCGAGAGGGATCGAGAGGGGCACTTGAAGTGTCGGCTACCTGTGGACCGCAAGGGAACCCCTGCACTCTGGATTGCAACGTCGTCTTACGGGAGACAGCCGAAACAAGGGTTAGTGGATGACATCTCAAGCTGCCTGGTGTTGTCGTGCGCTGCTTGCCATGTGGGCCTCCGTGCTGGAAGTGCTGGTGGCACCTTGGGAAGGTTAAAGGGCTGGAAGGCGAGAATCCCACAACAACAGTGGCCAACTTCACATACCCGGTCATGACTGTTACGACCCCTCATGACCCTCGGAATCCTGAAGCGTCCTTGAAAGTTAGCCCTCAGGTCACGACCCCCAGACGCTGCACCGACAAGCCAGGACATGCCAGAGCCATCTTGCCGCCCCTCTTCTAACAGCTGCGGGGCAAGGAGCCAAAATAAACCCAACAGCGCGACGGACCACGAGACGAATCTGCTGAGCTTGTGGGCTTGCTGAAGGCGAGAGAGGCATGGCTATGCTTGCAAACTTCTGTGAACCATTCGGACCTGAGAAACCCGCTACCTCCTCTTCTGCATACCCCTGAAGGAAGAGCGGCTTCATTCCACAACTTCAAGCCCGTTTCCAGATCCGAGCCGGAAACCCCGTCGGCGGAGTCTGTTTGGGTATGTACCTGGAGCGGACAAAATTCTTGCGAGCCCCTGGCCTCTTCAACCTTCAACCTCAAATTGCGAGACCCCGGATCCCCTGCATCTCGACCTGCTTGGCGATGCCGGCGAGGAGTCCTCCTCAAGGACTTGCTGGGCCACCTGGAAACAGCCAGGGTATCAGACCACTCCCACACTCAATCTTAAAGGGTATGGGCATGGGTAATACACCAGCCCTGTGCTGTGGTTTTGGTTTGGCTGGGGCTCCCGATGGCACACGGCCAGTCGCCGAGACAGATTTGGTGCTTTGGATGACGTGAATGCACGGAACCTCAACCTGGGATGAATCGATACGTGGCCCATCTGAGCTGATGCAACGTAAAACTTCAAGAAATGCTGCAGAAGCCCTTAAGCGAAGTAATACGTGGGTTGTTCTCGACGAAAGAAACATGATTCAGGAAGGAGCCGGAAAGATTTGAAAGTTGGCTCGAAAACTTTCTTTCTCAACCGCTAAACCTCATCTGGCCCTAAACCTCAATGCCTGTCACCAAAGTCGCAGTTGCCCCTCAAAACAGCAGAGACCTTGACTTAGAGCCAACAAACACTGTCCGCTGACAGTCCAGCCAGTGCCTTGACAGTGTGGAGCAGGGTATCTCCTTTCGGAAGCCTGCGACGCTGCGATGGTCGGAGCAACATCCGGAAAACTCCACACTGCGCCACAACATGCGAGAAGCTTCTTTCTCTCGAGCTGCTGAACCCAAGCAGGTGCCAAACTTCGCCCAAGGAACGGTCCATGGTAAAGGGAGACGCAGCGAAAGGACTCTTTGGATAAGTCCTGCAAGGCGTTGTGTGCAAGAGGACTCTTCGCAACCATGAACTGCTGGCGACCGCGAAAGTGTACATGTTACATGTCTAAATCCAGGGGACTGCATATCAGGCCGTTTGTTCTGGGCGCGCGGGGGGTCCTTGTCCATCATCTGTGTCCGAACCTTACAAGGAGGTAAGTTGAACCCGGACATTCAAGACAGTCCTAAGCCTCTCCGGCCTCCACGATGCTGAAGCGCCGCAGAAGCAAGGGTGTGGCAGCCTGCGTCCGCGGGACGCGCTGGCCCTGGTCAGGGGACGCTGCACAAAGGCTGCAACGCCCAGGACCACAAGGCCTCGGTCTTGCTCTTCTTCTCTAGAGGGGCAGCGGGCACGTAGAAGATGGCCACCTCGTCCATGCCCCACATAGATGCAACGATGACAAGCATCTGATCTCATGCGATCAGCTTGCCGGAATGCCTCTTCGGAACTGAGCCAGAGGATCAGCAGCTGCCACTCCTCAAAAGGGTACCCACTTGAGACTGCGGGAGCCTTTCGAGCTTGAATCTCATTTACTGTACTTAGTACTTGAGTTGGACATGCCATTTTGGTGCGAGCAAATACCACTGAGAAGCACAAGAGTCGGTATGCAAGAACTGCGTGACGTTTTCTCAGGGCAGGGCAGGACAAAGGAACACCTCCAGCACCTGGACCTGCAAAAAAGATTGGCATGAGTCGACACGGGAAGTGCTTCCACCAAGTCTAACTACACATCACATGCCATGCATCCAAGCCCACTGCATGTCAAGTCTGCCTTTCTTCTACTGACTACAAGCAATGACAAACACGATACCAAAAAACAAATCCTTTCACAATCCTGCCGATGGGCGCCTTTGCATTGGGCGGCGGAGGCAAGGTCGAAAGCAACGCACGCGATGTCGTGGAAAAGACCCGGATGGCCATGTCCTTCAAATGTCAAGTCTCCTTGTTTGCTCAAGAACCTGGGGAACTTGACATGGCGTGCCTCCGAAACCAAGACTGCTGCACCAGCAAGGTGCGGTCCAGCAGGGTTGGTGCCCTGCCCCACGCACGCAATTCTGCAAACTTGCGACTAACTTGACCCGACTCAATTTTGCCTCAGGAAGGCAGAGGCATACACGTGTGGGCAGGGACATACAGGGACTGCCACGCAAAATAAACACAAAAGTTACACCATGATGCGCAAGAAATGCGAGAAGGGATGCAGCTGCTAAATTACCAAAAGCTAAAGCCTGCAAATGCATCATTGCCACTAGCTTGCCCCAAGCCTTCTTCGGAGGATCTGGTGTCGGAGGCTGTTCCAGCGACCTGGTGATGCATAGGATTCCAGAGCCAGACTTCGAGGCAGTCCAGGGGTCCATGGTGGGGTTGTGAAGGCCCTAGAGTCCTAGAGGCCGGCGCCCACCACACTGCCACGCACTCTGCATTACTAGCGGATAGTGACCGGATAGTGGGTGTGCGGGCAGAACGTGTGCGCGAAGGCGCTCGGAGGTTCGGCTGCCCAACGTGAGTTTGGGCAAAGGTCTTGGAAGGTGCCCTTAAGGCCTGAAACTTCAAGGCCTCAGGCCCCTCAGCCCCAAAAGCACTTCTGGTGTGGGTTTCATATAAAAATTTTTAGAACCATTCTGTGCGCCCGAAGTCCTGAAGCTTCAAAGCCTCAGGCCACTCAGTACTGAAAGCTCAAAGTCAAAGTTTAATGCCCCCAAAGCAGATTATTCAGTTTTCTAAAAAGGTTTGGGGGGGCGGGCAAGGGCTTCATATTTGAGTCGCATCGCCGATAGATGGCACAAAAGAAGCTTTCTCAAGGGGCAGCCGCCCTCGTCTGGTCCTCCCCGTCCCGGTCTCTCGGCCCTCTCGGCCCTCCACTTAGGCGCATCTTGGAGCTGGAACGCAGGCGCCTGCGCAATCTGGACCTGGGCAGCGACGGGTCTCACAGGAAGGGTAGGGCGTGGAAGCCCAGATCCTCCCAGATCTCGTCAAAGGGCTGGAACGCACTTCCGGACGGCTGTATGGAATCATGCTCTGAGGAAACATTCTCAACTAGATGTTCATCAGAACATATCAAGTCGCTGTGCACTTCCACTTAGCGCTGGGCTACAGTGCCACCAGTCGTTGCAAACGGTGAAGCATAGTGTGCCTCAACTGCAGAATGGAACTGGCACAAAAATCACACCATCTGCAAGATCTCTCCCAAGTCCCAAGAACCGAGTCCCGTGACATGTTCTTTCCGCTACTTATCAGGTCTGATTCGTAGATTCATTACTCCCATGTGCTGTAAGACATAAACCACAATCGACCTCCTCCCAGACGTTTGCGTTAAAAGCTGACTCAAGAACTGCAGCTGCTGATTACCACCCGCAGCACACCTTTTTCTCGCGCTCACCTCTCAGAGCGAACCCCGCGCAGCTCCTGGCTCAGCCCCGCGTTCACCACTGCCTTCCTGGCAGTGTTCCATTCTGAGGGGTTACAGAGGTGCTCTCTGTTGGCTTTCTCGGCTCTCTCGCTCCACATCAGTTGACGTTGAATGTTGCGGACCAACTGGGCCGAACACATTGGATCTGAGCAAAGGGACTCATTGTAGGCTCTCAATAATCTCACACATTGCAGCCGGGTCTCTTGAACTCCGAATTGCTTCCGAGCTCGCTGAAGGCCTCAAAGGCCCGCCGCTCCACCTGTTCGCAGCTTGGGAACCCTAAGGTTTCCCCGCGGTTCCTCTCTCCCCCTTCCAACCTCGACTCTTCAAAGCACTTTAATACCCTGCATTCTCCCCCGACAGCCTGCCACGGGCCCTGCAAGTTGCAAGTCTTCCATGGCCAGGACCTCGGCTTCCAGCTTGTCCAAGTGAGCTGTGTTGGGGAGCATCTTTTCTTTTGGGGGGGGGGGGGGGGGGGGGGAGGAGGGGGGTTGAGGGTCGAAGCTTGCCGAAGAGCTGGATCTGACTCGTGTACTTCGCGACAATCCTGAGAGCTCGAAGGCCAAAGGAGCACGAGCAATGGAGTAGTTTGTACACTGCTCCACATTGCAGTTGCCCCACGCGCTGACCTAGATTACCAAATTGCCACAAACATCGACATGAAGGGATACGACAGACCAAGTCCAGCAGAACTTTCTGCCAAGGGTCTCGATGGGCCTTAGCTTTTCCAGACCACTGGTCAGCCAACTGAGAAAAGTTTCCTAGCGTTTCCCAGCATCTCTGATTCCATCATCGGCTTCTGCCATGTCTCAGCCTGCCGAGGAGCCCTTCGACAAGGATGCGGCCAGGCTTGCCGAAGAGACACCTGTGGGTCACTCCAGGATGAAGCAAGAAGTGCATGCTGCATTGGAGAGCACTTCGAGTCCTTCTCTCCTCACTCGATTCACTGTCGAGCGCCTGCCCGAGAGGCCTGCCCTCGAAGCAGCCTGTCACAGAGTGCGTTTGCCGAGAATCCGCGGGTTCTACAAGCCTGAATCTGCGAGGCACAAGTCTGCGCACTGGCACCCGCACTTGCGCACCTGGAGGATGAACTTCTGCTTCCATGGTGCCGTGATGTGGTGCATGTACCTCACAGACTCACAGATCTTCCAGCGCAAACATCGTCACAAGCCCCAAGAACATGTCCCACTGCTGAGGCACATTGTCGCCCGACCCAGCAGGCCGGCCACAGGCGCCGTGCGCAGGTCCTGCCAGGCACCTGTCACTGCGGCAGAAGGCATGCGGACCTCAGAATCATCTTGAAATCTGGGCTGGCCGGCAGGCCTCCATTTGTCGCAGGGACTCTCTCTCCGTCATCCTCCTCATCCTCCACGTCCTTTGCATAAGATGGGAAGCCCACACAATGTTTTGCGATAACCATGCTGCAGCAGCAGACCAGCAGCTGATGTGACTTAGCATTTGATTCAACTAATGTGCACCCCAAGCTGAAACTTTCACTTGAATTCAGATGTGCAGGCAAACTCTGGGATGGCTCTGGAAGCTCTCCAAACAAAGCCGTTACAACAAAGGCTCTTGATTTTGTTCTCCAGACTTGGAGCGTCTTGCCCACTCCACCCAACCAAGGGCTGCTTGCCGGCAAGTCTCCCACTGCACACGCGCATCCCGCCGCTGGCGCACATCGCTGAGTTCACGGGATTCAGCTGCCTGCCAGGATGCACCAGCTGTCTATGACTCGGGGGTAAGGCGCTGCTTCAGCAGCCTCACTGGCATTCATTCTACTGCTGACCAATGGGATCAGGCTGCTCGTGGGTTTGCGCAGGCAGGACTTGGCCTCAGATCCTGCACTTCGCATGCCCCCGCTGCCTTCTTGGCGTCGGTTGGGGCTTGCCTCGAGGGGTGTGCTGAATTGGACGCAGCCTTTTCTGCTGCCGCCGTGAAGGCCTCTGCTGCTGTGGTGGGGGCGTGGCAGGCGTGGCAGACTGCTGCCCGTGAGGATCAGCCGCTGTCTCTGGAGGCTGCGTTGGCGAGCACACAGCGGGCCTTATCTCAACAGGTGGATGCCGCTAGCTGGTCGGCGCAGCTGCGCAGTGCCAGCCTTTGTGCCCAGGCTGTCTTGCAGTCTGAAGCTGGGGTGGGTGGTCGCTCTTTCCTGTGCGCTGCGCCCTCGGGCCGCACCCGCATGGAGCCCGCCGTTTTCGCGGCGGAGCTCCGGATGCGCCTGGGCATTCCGGATGCTGAGGATGATTGCTGGTGCCCCCGGTGCGATGGTGTTTTGGACCGGTGAAACTTCCACGCGGGAATGTGCGTAGCTGGGGGCGAGCGCACTCAACGCCACAACGCTATCCGCGACTTGGTTTTCCAATGGGCGGATCGCGCCGGCCTGCGGCCTGAGAAGGAACCGGCAGGCATCTTGCTTCCCCAGCGGCCGGAAGACAGCCACATGGCTAGACGCCGTCCTGCCGATGTTTACCTGCCTGCTTTGGGTGGGGCCCCTGCTGCACTGGACTTTGCCGTGACGGCACCCCAGCGGCAGGAGACCCTCGCCACTGCAAGCAAGGAAACTGGCGCAGCTGCGGCTGCCTATGCTCGGCACAAGGAATCCCATCTCAACACCGCCCAATCTTGCGAGGCGCAGGGGGTGGTTTTCGTCCCCATGGTCATGGAGACCACTGGGACTTGGGACAAGGGCGCAGCTATTGTTTTGCAGCATATTGCGCGTGCTGTGGCGTCCCGCACCGGCGAGGAGCCGGATGCTGTGCACGCTGCCCTGGTCCAGGAATTGTGCGTTGTGGCGCGCAGTTTCCGGGCGAGGGCAGCCCTGCGGCGCAGGAGCGAGGCCGCTGCCGACTAAGGAGCCATGAAGAGACGACTGGACTTGTGAGAACCGGGGCCGGTGGTCCTTTAATAACTTTGTTCCTTCCTTGCTGGCGCGCAGTGCCTCGTGTGTTTGCTTTTGCCCCTGCCCGGGTCTGTCCAGTTCTTCCTTCAACATGGCCTCCGCTTGGGTCCGTGAAGCTCCTTTTGTTACGGCCCGTGGGCATGCGTGGCGCGGGAGTTCTCGCGGGGCGCCGGAGACTCGTGCGGGTGTCGGGGCTCGCCCTACGGCCCACCATGCTCTCTGCCTTGATGTCAGTGTGGACGCATGCTGCATCATTGGGTGTCGGACGCAGGACGTGCGAGCTGCTTGAAGGGTAGCGTTGTACGATGTTTTCTGTCCAGTTTTGGCATTGCCCTCAGAAGTAGGCGCGGCTTGGTGCCTCCCTCACAAGTAGGAGGTGCATGCTTTGGAATTGCATGCGCAACTTTTCGATGCTCTCTCTTTCTCCTTCTTTCTCTCGAGCTGTCTATAAGCAAACAACAGTGACTTGACTTAACTCGCACAGTGCTCCACTTGTAGTCACTAATTAGTCCCATAGGTTCCGCTCGACAGGCCACAAACCTGAAGCCGTCTTTACAAAACCCCACCCGACACCCCACCCCCCTCCCCTGAAATCCCTGAGACCCCTGAAGATCCTCGAGCGGCCCGCCCTTCGGTTGATGACTCCAATGCTTCAGGCACCATTTCCAGCATTGCAGGGGTTGGGGCTTAAAGCAGCAAGCTGTGCGATTCACGTCGCACACTCCACAATTGTCCACACCCTGGACAACCCCTGCGGTCGCTGCCGAATGGCTATTTGCCGAATAATGTCTACTTGCCGTTGTACTGGCATGAAGTGCTGGGCTAGTCAGAACCTTCGCGACGCCGACGTGAACTGCACGCAGCCCGTGACCAAATATCCGCCAAACGCCACGAAGACGAGTCGTGCTGCGCGCTGTGGACTTCCATTTCCACGCATGCTGGCCTATGCTGACTTTTCACATCTTTTCACTGCACAGCTGCGCCAGCTACCCCCAAGCCTTGTGGTTGTCTCGAGAAAAAGAGCGATGTGTCACACGCGGCCTCTTCGACTTCAGAGGGCAGCGCCTGGGGCGTCCCCATGAAGTTTGGCTCCTCCGGGCACCGTGTCCGTGCAGTCTGTGAGGGTCCACGAAACAGTGGAAATCAGGGAAAGATCCCTTCAACTCTCAACATGAAGTCCTCCTCCGTCGTCTCTGCCTCTTCCATCTCTGCCTCGAGCTCTGCCTCGAGCTCTGCCTCACTGGATTCCTGGCCCGATGTCTCGAGCTCTGCGTCACTGGGTTCCTGCCAAATGTCTTGAGCACCACCGCGCCCGTCCACCGAAACCCACAGAAAACCGACCAAACGTCACATGCCTCTCTGCCCCGCACCTCCTCTGCCTCGTCTGTCGCCCACGCAAGGTCCAGGGCCGTGCCCTCTGCGCGCTGGCGATCCCGTCTGGCAGCACGCGCCATCTTCCTGCCGGAGTACGGGGTACCGCACAGCACCCTCAGAAGCGGAGAGTGGCTCTCACTGTGGCGCAGACCTGGCGCGCTGGCTCGCCGTGTCCTCAGGGCTTGGCTTGTGCTCGGATGTGCTCAGATGTGCTCGGATGTGCAAGGGCTCCTCGGCTCCTCGAACCGCTAAAACCACTTAAGACGAACCCTTGTTGCGTCCCCTTTGAAGTCCCAGGCTACGAAGCGTCACAAAGATCCGATAAAGAGATGGAAGGCATAAGTTCGGCATACGCATCATGAGCCACGAGTTGTGGCATGTTGCGGTCCTGCGCCAGAGGAAGTTGAAGGATCAGCTGCCGCACATTCTGCAGCGCTCGGGTGGCGGTGAGGCTCCGGGGAAGTGAGGGCTTCCTTGGAAGGAGACGGGCAGCGAAGCAACGAACAGCAGCGAGCGGAAGGTTTGGCTCGGAAGGATGGCAAACCTTCTCAAACCGTTGCAGGATGCTGGGGATGCTGGGCAGAGGGGCCCTTAGCAGTGGTGCCACAAGCGTAGGCTCTGAACTCGTGCTCCCGCAACTCTTCCGCGTTTTTGGCTACATCGGCCTGCTTCAACTGAACATTGAACATCCCCTTGCACAAGAGCCTTATACGTGCCCCATTTTTTTGCAGTCAGTCTGCAACAGCGCCAAAGGCACACAGTATACCACGGTCACCACTCGAACCATCGAAAACGGAAGCAAGCAGGGCCGATACACGTGTTCAGTCTGCTTTCAAGCCTGAGAGTCCACTGCCTTCCGCTGAAGGCCTCGGCTCGCGGGCAGACATGCCCTACGACATGGCCAAGCTCCACTTTGCGTACTCTTCTTGATGCACTGAAGGGTGCTGAGATTGCCAATTTTGAGGCCGCAAAGGCCTGAACAGCTGAGGCTCCGGCTTGCACGAGGTTCACCTTACTTGGGGCTCAGCGGATGCTGCAAAGTCTTCAAAGTGACAATCAGCTCTCTCTTCTTCCAATGCGCACCTCTACTCCTCAACTGCTCAAGTGCCGTAGAGTCGCGAAAAGGAGGACATCCAAGTGGCTGTCCAAATCTCTGGGCCAGGGGCACTCCAGGTCCAAAGCATCACAGAAGTCGTGGATGAGGGTCCTGATGTAAATGTATATTTTGATCTCAAGCTGTTTTCGCACTTGTGTGGTAGCCATGGTAGCCTATCTGCGTGTCGCGACATGCGCGTGCGTGTGTAAGCGTGCCCTTTTTTGTGGATCTCCTGTCGGACTCCAGTCCAGACTTTCAACACTACCCACACAGCGGTCAGTTGATTCGTGAACCGTCCATTCTGATGCCATCACAACTTGCCGAGCCAACCTTCAATTGAGATGCTGAACTTGCCGGCAGGCTGCAGCACATCACCCATGCAGAGCGGCAGGTCCCCTCCCTGGACCCCTTCTGTGACCGCCGTGAAGGGAAGGCGGCCCCTCGAGAAGCTGTTGAAGGGCACTTGTTCAAGGTTGGCCTAGCCTTTCAATCTGTGCAACGCGCCGGCATGTCCCGACACCGAATTTTGCTGTGTCCATGATGCTTCTGCTTCTGTTAGTCACTTCCACTGACCAAAACTCGTTCTTCAACTTTGCCTTGAACCCCTCCACACTCCTGCCCAAGCGACAACATATGTTCCGCAGGAGTACCCCCACTTCATCCGATCCTGATTTCGATCTTGGTGAGAGCCGGGGCGCTGTGCTTGAAGCTCTTCGTGGGCACTGCTGCGCAATGCCTCGATCTGGCGCTCGTCGCGGCCCTGTCCAAACCCCCAGGGCTCAAAGGCTTGTGGAAGCTTCGGGTCGACGTTGGGTCCGGCGGATGAAGGCTTCAAGACTATCAGGGAGGGTAAGGCCTCGTTGCTCAGCATGAACTCAAGGAACCAAACAAGAGCGCGGAGCTCGTTCCGGAGCAAGCCTTGTCGGCCTCCTGGGATGGAGATTTGAATCCAACAGGCTGTAGTCTCGGCGAGGGAGACACAAACACACTGTGACCCGCTATGTGTTCCATGAAACCTAAAACCATCCTAAACTCCAAGAGAGTGAGGCCCAGCCTGCACCTCTTGCCCCCTTGTTCCCCCCTGCGTGCTCTCTGTAGAGCTGTTGCTTTCAGATTCCCTTTTTATCCCTCTTTTTCGTTCCTTGTTCATTCCAAGCATCTTGCCATCAGCTCGGCGAGGCACTGGACCACCAGGCGGGTGAGATCTGGATGCAACAGATGCGGCGATCAGATACGGCTGCCACTCATGGCTACAAGCAGAGAACAGCACAGGCATGTCTCATCATGCTCCACCTTCCAAGCATCTTGCACAAAGAGAACTGTGACAGCTTGCCTGCCTGAAGGCCTGAGGGCTGTCGGAACCTGCATGGGCTGTTATATATATATATATGTGTATATCTATATTTATATTCTAATATATGGTTCTATCTTCTACTACATCACATTACATGACTGCGAGGGTCAATCCAATTTGACCGAGCTGTGTGTCGTTCAATGTCTGGAGAGTTTACTGACCACAGCAGCTGAGCTCGGCAGCCTCGCCACCCTCGAGAAAGCTCGGCTGAGACCGTGCCGCTTTTGCCCAGCGCTGCAGCCACTCTGACTTAGTACACAGTGCAAACATGGCAATGATCATCAGTTGTACATCAGCTTGTCAAAACATATTTCTAACGAGAAAAATGAATATTCAGAATACGCACACATCCAAAATGTTGTACTGCAAGGAGCGTTAGATTTCACAGCCGGGCAATATAAAAATGCAGATGGCAGATGGCTTGAATCAATTATTGACATCCCATTTTGACACGGGCACTGGTCCTTCAACCTGCTCTCCTGTGCAAACATGATTTCGGGCGATTCTGAGCCGACGCCCCGCATTAATGAAGTCAGAAAGGCAGAGCAAATGCACGCTAGAAAACTTCAGCTACATGAATCACCAAAACGACACTCCACGTTACAAGAGCCACTGAAACAAGACCTGCACAATCGAAAGCGTGAACAAGGCACGACTTGCTGATAAACCTCAAGTAACAAGTAGACACAACTACGCCGTGTTTACCCATCTCTTCCCCACAATCAGTGGACGCATCAAGACAACGCGACACGTCGGCTTCCCCAGTACCCATTCTACGGTCAGCACGCATCATTACGATATTACGATGTTTGGGGCACAACCAGCTACCCTTTGCAAGCTCTGCCACCAGGAGAACTAAACTTATGTGTCGGCGAGCCAAGTCCACCCTCCCAGGTCAAGCCCAGGCGCATCGCCCCTGGCTGCCCAGCGCACCGCCTCCAAAGAGGCATTGCTCAACTCTGACCAGGGCAAGCTTGGCTTACACCTCCTGGGGTACTCGCGTGACTCTGCTTCAATCTCCTCTATCAGGACGTCCCAGATTGCGCTGGCCTCCACGAGGACAGCTCCTTTCCATTCCTGCCACAACGTGCAAAAGCGGGCACCTTCTGAGTCATAACAATATTGCGAGTCTTTTGTGCCAGTTGCCCGCTGCCTCCGGCAACTGCATGGCATCCAGGATGTCCAGCGTCTCTGCATCCGGAAGGGAGGCATCCCATTGAGCCCACACCTCCTGGCAGAGCTATACCCGGTTGTGGATAAACGCTGCCGATTCTGTCAACACGTGTCTCTGGCAACGTCTGAGTGATCCTTCGAAAAGCTTGCTTTGTTGGGAGGGGGTGGTGTTGTCGTGTGAATCTTGCTTGTCCTTTCCCTATGTGTCCTGTATACGTCTTTATATGTCGTTGTATGTCGTTGTATGTCGAAGCATGTCTGATCATGTCTGTATAGTCTTTTTGTGCGTCGTTAAAGGTCTTTACGTGTCTTGTCATGGCACTCTGCCTCTGAAAAACTGTGAGGATCCAGACCCCCGAGCATCATGGAATGAAACTGTCCTGGCGAGCGCTGTGCCAAGGCTTTGCCAAGCCAAGCAAAGCTGCCAGGCACGTTACTATCACTCTAGGATGGGACCTAGTCTTGTAACTCACCATTTATTCGATAATGGTTTTGCACTCTGGTATGTCAAGCTGTTCTACAGGGGTTGCTCAAGGTTCTTACTGAAAACGATGCGCATTCCGGCAGTCGGCTGTCCTCGACGTCGAGGAAGGGATCCGACGGCTCCGATGGCACTGCAGCGCGAGGCAGCCCAGCGAGGGGCTTCGGCTGCTCCTCTGAAACTTGCTGGTGCTTTCGTATTGCCGCGGAGTTTTGAAGCCTAGACTCCCATCCGATCCTGGCCACGCCGCGCGGCCAGAAAGGCCAAGTCCTGTGCAGCAGAAGCTTCGCTTCCAGGAAGGTGCAAGTAGTCTACACTTCAGCACTAGGGCACTGGGGCATCAGTGTCATGGTGCCGTCTAAGTGCAAGCATCCAGCCTCTGGACAGAGGCATCGGAGGCAAAGCGCAGCCACCGCCAGGATCGCGGCTCGGGCCATGCCATGGTCGGACCCCGTGGAAGATGTAGGAGCAGGTCGGGGGGAAAGAATATCGGCTGAACTCTTCGGAGCTGTCGACTCGGAATGGTCTAGGGTAGACTTGGCGCCAGGCAGGAGAGTTCAAGCATGTGGCGTAGCTAAGGCGGGGGTAGCGGAGAAGGTCTGCAGCAGGAGCCTGCCTTGCCTCTTGGATTGTCGGAGGCTTTCTGTATCTGTAACATCCTCACTGGTCCTTCCGGCTCAGGTCTACACACAGCAGATCCTTGGCAACGATAATCAGAAGATCAGCGGTTCACTTTTGCCGGCTCAGAACCCCCAGCTCAGAACCCCAGTCCTATAGAGCAAGTAGCGAGAACGAGGTGTGAGATTGATTTCTCTTGGTGAGCAATGACACCAGAAAGACCGCTTCTTCCCGCGTGGCCTATGCTGCTACAGTCCAAAAAATAGCAAGAAGCCTTAGAGCCTTCAGGCACAGATTTACCGGCACCCGTGCCACGTGTGCCCATCGAGAGCTGCTAAATCCTCAGGGCCCCGAGCGTTGAAGCGCATCAGCGCGACACTGGCACCTTTGGCACCGTCCTCGCCACGTTCTCAAAGGGTCGGATGGACTTCTGTGGGTCAAACGAACTATGGGCAGCAGGAGCCAAGCCAAAAAAAATCTCGGCGTGCTGCAACAGTCTGGGAGTCTGGGGGCAGAACGCCGTTGCTGCCACCACCAACGGTGTAGCTAAGAGCCTGGAAGCCAAAGCGGATTCCGGGTCGCAAGAGGATCTCGGAGTGTGAAGTGGAAAGGGCAAAAGATTTGCCAAGGCCGCGGCAAAGTGATGCAGCGAGATCGGGAAGATGTGCGCCTGGCTCTTTCTGCAACTTCCTGCCAACCTCTGTCTCTGCCGGTTTGGAGATTCTTCCGATCTGACCATGTACTTGCATTATTTTGCTCCGGCGATCACCACAACTTGCTTGCAACGAATCAGCGGCGCTTAACCACCAGCAGCCTTGGAGTCTGTCAGGCCAAAGTAGAGTGTGTAAACGCACACGAAGTTCTCCAAGCTCCACACCTCCATTAGGTGGTGGTCGAAAGCTGCAAGGGCCAGCGTGGAGGGACATGCTGTCTACCGAATGCCCACCCCGCCTGCAATCTTAGGTCCAGAGCACAGGAAACAGCGAAGCCTCGTTTGGCCACAACCCAGGGTTCGCTTCACTCGAGACATCATAGAGAGAGAGAGAGGGAGAGCGAAAGAGAGAGAGAGAGGGGGAGGTGAAGGGGGGAGGGAGGGAGGGAGGGAGCGGGAGAGAGAGCGAGAGAAAGAGAGAGGGAGAGAGCGAGAAAGAGAAAGAGAGAGAGAGAGAGAGCGAGAGAGAGAGAGAGAGAGAGAGCGAGAGAGCAAAGAATAGTTCAAATCAAGGCGCGTTGCTGCACGTCACGCTCATCCCGATCATAGAAGCACACCATCTCCACCTGTGGCTAAGATTTCTGTGATGAGCGATGCACTGTAGGGTTGATGAAAGCAGTGCTTGCAACACATTATTGCTTGGGGCTTTTGTTGTCCGTTCTTTTGGGGTCCTTGGTCCCCCTAGGCACCGGCGGTAAGTTTTTGTGCACCTGGACCCACAAGGTAAGGTGCGCAGGGCTTAGGAAAACTCTCTGGCATGCAGCGTGGGATTGGGGATTGTGCTAAACTCGTGGTGTTCTGGGGTCCCCAAATCAACCACGCCCCATCTTAAGAAACCGAACGTGCACTCGCTTTCCTGCATTCCCCTTTAGACTTTAGACTTTAGAAACACTCTGATACATAGGAGAACCACCGAGTCTGAGATCGCGTCTGACCGTGTGTGGCCGTAGAAGGTGTGCTCAAGCCTGCAACAGCAATCTGAGCCCTCAAGAGCAGCAGCAACTCTCGTATCACAGACATTGATCTCGGTTCAGTGTTGGTTCAAGCTGAGCCGAGTTTATGGGGTTTAGAAGACAGCGTCAGCAGCACGCAAACGCCAGGAACATCTGCCACAATGCCCAAGGCCACTGCCTGGTACAGAGGCCATCAGCACTTGGGTCGCCGACTTTTGCTTCGAAGGCCTCTATCAGAGTCTGCGTAGCATGCACAAATATTAGATACCCATTGCTGTCCCTTTGCGCCACGTGGATCATGTGGCCGCCTGGATGTTCCAAAGCTGCACTGCGCCACTGCCTGTGCCTTCAGACGCACCGAGTACGCCCCAAGCGAAGTTCCAGCAGGAGGCACGCAAGATGCTGGCTGCTGTAAGGCCATTGGTGAAAAACACATTGCATTACTTCGAGCTCGCTTGTACTCAAGGCGGAAATTCCCCTTATATACGAACGTCGGAGCATCTATGGGCTCCAGAGATATGAAACTGTGATAGCACGTGCAACAGCAAGCAATGTCTCTGAGCTATCCGGCCGGTGAGCAGCTGCGCCTTCAGCAGCGATGCAAAATGGTGCAAGCATGGGCGCAACGTGATCATTGGAGTCTGGTCACATTTAATCAGCTTTGGCGGACTGTCCAAAGACCAGCCTACCTGGGCCGATCTCAGAGAAATTTCTGGTTTCCTGCAACTGGCCTGGCTTGAGGACACCATATGCAGGTAGGCGCTGCAGACCTCCAAGTCCAGTACGTCTTGTCTCTGCAAGGCCCAAGTTCACTCGACTCTTCCTGCCCTCATAGAGACACTGCTGAGCCATTTGCAAAGAGCAGGTTTTGTCTGTCCAAACAGATGTGCCCCAAAACACAAGAGCCTTCAGCCGAGCCCTGTGGCCATCTGAAACTCAACAGGCTTGCCACAGGAGTCGCACGCAACTGGAAAGATTCCATCCCTCGCGAGCTCCTGGAATTGCATGGCACCAACCCCACCCAGCTTTGCTCAAGATGTGTCCAGGCCCCCGGCAAAGGGCTGATTGCAGGAGGCCATAAGGTTCAACTGGCGCAGCTTGGAGGCTGCTGCAGCTCCATGACATGTTCAAATATCTGGTGCCAGAAGGGCCCGTACCGACATCGAGCAGCTAATGCAGGCATGCATCGGAATTAGCGAAGAAGAATGTTGGCTGACACTGGTAGGACATGGTAGAACTGTATTTTTGATCAAAATCGGATTGACTTCTTCCTGCCTCATGGTCCAATACCAGCACGGTCTTCAACCCAGCGATGACCACCCTGGCTTCGAAACTTCGCCATACAGCATCCGGGCCGTATCTGAAGGAGGTTTTTTCCTGCCTCTGCTCAGCAGCCACCACGACGCGATGTACAGGCTCTGTGGTGACCTGCATCTGCAATGCACTCCGGTCGGTCGGAACGACAAGCCACGTTTCGAACATGACAGAGAGACTGAGGGCACAAAACGGCTTGCTCAACCATGCGCCTGTTTGATCAAGTTCAGCTGCAAGTGGTACCTGAGCAGCGGAATTGTCAGGAGTGGAAGGAAAGTGGAAACACCCAACATGTCCCAATATCTTCAGAACCTGCGAGAATCCCATACCTCACCTTCCGGTAAATGACTGAACCATTGTTATTGCTACGATTGCTGCTCGGTATCACATGGGCAGAATGCTGATTACTTCTTGGCACTTCAATCTGCCCCCATCCTCGTTACCCACAGCTTCCTGCAGTACAGCACTGTCAGAGCAGCACTAGGATCTGGACTCCCCTCCCCTGTGGGGCTTCCGGGTTTTGGGCCTCCTCCCACAGAGACCACGCCAAAAACACCAAAAAGCGCCTTTCCCCCCCCCCCACACACACACCTCCCACACACCGGGCTCCGAGGACCCAGAAGGGCTGCTCTCCGAGAGCTGCGCCCCACATTGGGGCCCAGCGTATTACAATTTGCAAAACACACCCCAAGAAAAAATGCAAAGCACTGAGCAGAGCACTCCAGGCCCCGCAGGCGCGAAGTGTTGATGCGACGGTCACGAGATTTTGTGAGCTGCCACCTTTGAACTCAGCTTCTGGGAGGCAAACAATGAAAAGGTATTTGTAGCTGCCTTGGAGCAGTGCGGGTCCCTGCAGCATCCGTCGTTCCTCAAGCCTACTGAAGGACATGCAGGGATAACATTGTATGTTGTAAGCCTACAAATTGAAGAAGCATGCCAGCATGGCTTGCCCCATCAACACAACCTAAAACTGCATCACGAGTGCCCAGCAGCTCGCAGCCACACTCGCTGCCAGCGAGGATCTGAACAGGATGGAGGATAGTACTTGGACCAAATTTTGGCTCAGTCTGTGTAAGTCAACTTTGACCTCAAGACTAAGCCTTCTACCACTCCCTTCTCTTGCAGCCATGCTCATCCCAAGCCGAAGTCCTTCATCCCACGGCGATGACAGCATCACTTCCTTGGATCCGGGCAAAGCTCCCAGCTCCAGGCAGGGACGCCAGGGATGTGACCTGGAGAGCACGGCCAAGTACTAGAGTGGATCCATATGATTCGCGTCGGCTTCCTGCCGAGAAGCGTTTGGAACAGACACGGCTCCTTCCCCTAACCCAACCCAAATTTTTGTGACGCACCCCCCCCGCCCCCTCCAACCCTGTGGGACCCCGCCCCATCGCTTGGAGAAGCTGCAATCCGATGCTGTGCCTGTCAGCAGCTCCTATAGACGGGTTGTAGCCTCCAAAATGCACAAAATCGGCTGTTGGGACCCTGACACCCCGCCTGGGACCCCCCCTAACCCGCCTGGGACTCCCGGACCCCCAGTTAAACCATGGGGTCCTGGCTCCCCCTTTTTTGAGGCCTTTCCCAGAAACCTTCTTTCCCGAGGCTTAAACGACCCATGGAAGACCCTGCAACACGTCCCTACCCGGCCCCACTCTGCTGTGGAAGGCTGTGGATGGCTCTGGGGGGCCTGGCCTTCCCACTCGCCTTCCGCTCTCCCCGGCCGTCGCCTCGCAGCTCCGAGCGGGCCTGTCCGTTGCCAGCGTGCTTTCTCTTTTCTTCTTGTCAGACTAAGCTTTTCTCTTTGTACTTCTTCTCTGAAGCCCACCTAGATAGCATCATG